CTGTGGTCGGCAATCCTACATTCCGCGAAGGTCTGAACGCCTGCCTCAAGATTGTCTATGCTTACTCTGGGAACATTAATTTTGTCGGATACATGGCCGAGATGGTTGATCCCGTAAATGATTTCAACTTCGCTCTCGGCATACTTGAGCTCACGTCGATTTCGTTTTACGTGCTAGTCGGTGTTGTCATCTACTGTCTCGCAGGCGAATTCACCGTCTCTCCTGCACTTGGATCTGCCGTCCAGACCACTGCCAAGATCGCTTACGGCATTGCTTTGCCGGCTGTTTTATCCACTGGTCTAGCCTTCGGTCATACGGGAATCAAGTACGTGTACGTCGAGATCATGCAGGGTATTGGCGCTTCCCATCAGATGACCAAAAACTGCACCAAATCCTGGTCAGTCTGGATAATTTCCGTGACTGTCTTTTGGATCCTTTGCTTTGTTCTTTCCAACGCTATTCCTGTGTTTGATTCTATTCTTTCCATCGCCTCAGCAACGACTATTTCGTGGTTCACGTTTGGCTTTAGTGCCGTCTTTTGGCTGAATCTCAACCAAGGGAAGTATTTCAGCAACTGGAAGAAGACTTCTTTGTTTTTTGTAAATGTATTTTTGATTCTCATCTCATTGTTTATGAATGGAGCTGGCCTATGGTCTTCTATTACCGAGCTCCTGGATATCTTTGAGTCGGACTCGAGCAGCGTACAGGGCGTATTTTCTTGTGGAAATAATGCCTTGTTTTAGGTCAGGCCATCGAATAACTAGATAGTTTGTTCCACAGCCCAATAACAATTTTCTCTTCTCTTACTTAAATAATATCATATGCTTGATCATGCATTTCATTGCGATTCCTCGTAGGCACCTTGCCCATGTGATGATGCCTGCTGAATTTTGCACCACGTTGAAAATTTCGTCAAAACGTTCCGGCCGGGCCTAAGCAGCATCACAGCCACAAGAAATCGGCACCATTCGAGAGGTGGCGAAAATTACGTGGGAATTCTCTGCCTCGCCGCTTGGCAGGTCATTCCAGTGTAAGAAATCACCTTGGCATTGATTCCAACATGACTCGGCTCGCTGGATTTGACCCCATTGTCCCCTCTTAGAGAGCTGGTTCAGGGCGCGTCCAAAGTCTGGGCATTATTCTAGCAAGGAATGTGCATATACGGACACTGTTCGAATGTCTACCGGCCTCAACCCATCCATTTGAATTGGCTCTCTCGGCTCTTTATATCCTGCCTTGGACTGGATTTGCTGTTTTACAAATTGTACCATACACTAGGCATCTTGTATCATCGCCACCAGCCTTCTTCATTCCTCGTAGTCGTGAGTGGGGCAACATTTTGCCTTTCGTGACGTGAAGAATCCACCAGATGAAGAAATCAGAGTTTAGTCACCCGCGCGGCTTATTCGGACCGTCGTCGTAAGAATTTACGTGGTCAAAACAAAGGAAATCCACAATTCTTGCCAATGTTCAGCTAGGTTAGGCTACCGAGTTGCGTCAGTGACTAATGGAAAGCATCGGCACAGGACAACTTCCGAGCGAGGTGATGTTTTGCTTCCCCTTCGGGATATCGTATGTATAATAGATATGTCCCGTGAGGCGGCGCAAGTATCCACAAACAGAGTATGTTTTAGGTTGACGTGGTGGAGAAACTATGCCGGAGATCCAGTCTTCTTTACCCTGGCACAACTCTATTACGTACTTAGTTCCCAAGGGGTTAAATTGACCTCAGCGTGTTAATGCAGGGAGGACCCAAGGCTAGAAAATTCTTTCAATGGGTTTGTGCTTGCGTAGCCATTCTCTAGAAGATCCATGTGCAGTCGTTTGGACGGCAACAGCAACTCAGCGTAAAGTCATGTAAGACGTGAGCAATATCAATGCCAATGATATCCAGAGTATCCAACCAGGGTTGTCCTACTGTTAGTTGCATTTGACAGTTCAAGCATGCATGCGGCTTAAGATTGACTCGCCTAAGCTCAAACTCTACCCATGTTTAGTCGTGCGAGACGAGGCGCGCTGATTCATGTCTGCTCATCCGATCGAAATCTTGCCGGGGGCCCTGGTCAAGCGTCCCATATCTTTTTGTCCGCCAAGTCCATGCAGCAAGGTTGAGGCGGCGGACATAACTGTAATTGAGCACTTTAGCTTCGATTGTGGCACAACCATTATGTCAAGTTGTCAATCATGATCAAATCCGTTTTTCGCCCCTGAGCTACTGTCGGCTGATCCGGTGGAATTCACGTGACCAGTGATAGTAAAAAACGTAATCGAATGGATGAACCCTTGTTCTCTCTGGCACCAAGCGAGCCGGTCATGATGCCGGTCTGGCGGCTCGGCTTGTGTCTTGGATTGATAACACTTGTCATTACATCCAAAGGTGTTGACCGCCTGGTGCTTGGCATCAGTGCTCTACATGGTTACCCATCTATGTCAGAACCGTATGGGCTATCTCAGGGACAAAACCCGAGAACACTTCCCGGAAATGCCCGTTGCAAGTAAGAACACGAATGATGCATCGTGATGAGTCTGGGCACCCAAAACACTGGGCTAGGTTTTGCCAAGGTCTGAAATCCGGAACCTCGTGATCTGAATATCTGATTTCCTTACCCAAGACTGTAACTCTGCGTATGTCTTGCGCCAGTGCACATTGAGGATATGGGTTACCATTGCCACGCGAGATATCTTTATTAGCTTCCCTTTTTTCTCCGAAATGAATCTGTTCATTGTATTAACCTTTGATACTGAACTAGAAGCTAGTGCACCAATTCCTCCTTCACTGTGTGAAAAAGGAAGATACTTCTGTAAAAGACTCGTGAGAAAAGCTCGCCATAACTGTCAATGTTTCAGTGATTTAGATGCAGCGTGCCTCTGTTATAAAAACGTCATTTTAAGATTTTGGAGCCCAAGGCCAGGCTTTGCTTACCTGGAAGTTAATTCTGAGAGTCTGCTATTGAGCTGACTTAGTTCGAACGCCTCTTGGAACTGCTTCGATGTAGAGCCGGCCCGGGTCTGATCATCGCGATGCCACCCGCCGAGAAACCGGCCCGAGTAGTGAGATGGCCAGAAAATATATAAAACGAGAAATGCTTTCCTCAATGGGCCAACCGTCTGTCCATATTTTAAAAAGATCACGCCGCTACCAAGCTTCAACCTATGGCCTCGACAACGATCACCCATGTCCCCAACTGGTGCCCAAAGGGTGGTACCAGTGAGGTTGTTTGAATATCAACATTCTTGTGAGCATTGAAATAATTATCGGATCTGGAAATTTCTTCTCGATGCTCGAATTTAGGCATAGCTCACAAAACATATTGCCTCTCGATGAATTACTTCCCAATCAGTGTTCTTTAGGGAGATTTGCAACTAAACAGTATACATGACGGACGCACAGGGTTGGAGTGCAAGCCACTGGCATCGCCACCATAAATTCCGATGTCTCACAACAGAAAACAAACCGAAGAGGAACGCAGAATAAGAAGAGGAAGGGAAAAGATGAAGCCAAAGACCGTATTACACTGATAATTCGCGATTCAGTTTGATCTCCTCCTTGAAGTTGTCTTAGATGATGGCTAACGCACGCTTGATATATTGATACGCCTAGCCTCAGCCTCGATTACAACTTATCGGCCTCTTCCGTTCTGAGATTTCTACAAATCGAAATAATGCTCAACATCCGACGACTAGCAAGCCGCCCGATTTCCTATGCGACAGAATATTGATATTGAGGATAACGAAATTCAGGACAACGAAATCATGAAGCTTTCCACAGAATGTAGGCAAAGCTTCAATCATCTTTCGACTTGATACTCTTGGCGGAGGCCTTGGAGGCTTTGATTTGTTTTCGCAAATCATAAATGGCCATATCACCGAGGACATGAACCAACATGTGTAATAATCAACATGTGTTGACCTCAAGATTTCTTTCCTGGTGGAGAGAAGGAAAATCCCTGAAACATCAGGGATGATTTATGAGCATGGCTTCCTTTTTGGTGACTCAATGCCTCTTGTCAGCTGTGGCTGTAAGGAATACGCAGTAAGTAGTCTTCGAATTGCGTCCAGAGTGGTGGTCACACGTTCAGGTCCTAGACCTGTGGAACTCTTAGCATCCAGCCGGGTTTCTTGGATCCCATGATTTTGGCTTGCGAAACAGTGAGAAACACTGCTGTTCCTAGGAGAGATTGAGCGTCTTCGAGAAATATTCGGGCCTAAATGGATGCAACAATGTTGTATTCGTTTCTTCGTACTCCGACTGCAGTCAATCAGAGGAATATTCCCTTGTTTTAAGAGTTGGCTGGATCCCATATGCCGAATAAGCTTTGCTCTAGGTACAAAGAATGCTTTATACACGGTTGGACTTGTAGAGAAGTACCTTGAATTCCACCATGCTCTCACTTTGAGGTCCAAATAAACGTGATGGTACCTAGAATAGGCTCCCTCCTTTCTACTCTTTGCACCGCGTATCGAATCAGGCCATGATCAAGACTTATGCAATGGCACCTCTATCTTGACAGAGCGTCTTTTCCATTCAAGCCATTGGTGAACTCATGATATAAGACGTTACTGGATCATGTACCCGATCACCGCATCGCTATTTTGCTTAGTTTTGTCGAGCCAGAAGATCTATTAGTCTTTGATCCTGTCTTGTGTATTAATCTAAGCCAATCAACTCTAACACATACCGGCTAACGTAGGTTGAAGCCAAGTAGACTTCGCACGAGTAATGTGGCTGCAGCGGAGCGAGAGCACTAGCTGTCTCACGCAACACCTCAGGTTCCGCAATATTTTCGATTCCACGATAGGTACTTTAGGTTCAAGCTAGGTTGGTCTTTCAACTTGAACAATAAAGCAGCCATCGACTTAGGGTTTGATGGAAAAGCCACGCGCAGTTTGCAAAGAGAAACCATCAATTTGGTGCGCGAGTCTACAGAGTGCAAACTGCGAGCCTGGACTGACGTATTCACGTTCTGCATCAACAAACAAACACTGCCGCCATGTAAGCATTACAATCAGAAAATCATCGAGACCACCTCGACATAATTGACAAGCTAAGTAGATACGTTGACCTCCTGCAAATCGTAGTTTACGGCAACCAATCAGCGGGGAAAGGCTCCGTTCTCGAAGCCATCTCTGACTTAACACTCCCTACCAAAGATAACCTCTGCACGCGTTTTGAAACCGAGCTGATTCTTCGCCGTGAAGCGACAGAGGCCGTAAGAATTTCCATTCATCCGAGCCCAGAGAGATCACCTGATGAACGACAGCGCCTCAATGCATTTCAAGCGGAAATAGACCCCACACAGCCAGACCTTCAAACGGTTGTCAATGAAAAGCGTAAACCGCCAAGAAAGTCTTCGCATCACATGACCATATTTAGACTTTGTCACAGATTAGGCCAAACTAGCCAAAAGGAAAATTCCTTTAAAGGAAAATTCCTTTAAAGGAAAATTCCTTGCCTAGTCTTCCGCGGTTACCCTTATATATTGTCATAGACTTTGTCCTCCATTTTCCATACCTCACATTCTAATTTTCTCCTCCCTCATCATAGATCACTCCTTCAACTGGACAAGATGCCTCAATCAAAGAAGAAGGAGAACTCAGAATCCCCCGAAACAGCTATTACAGCAGTTACATCCACTGCGGCCTCCGAAATACGTCCCGAGGGCTCTGAATTTGTTCTGCCCAGGTTTGACTTTGAACGTCATAACCCTTTCGCTCCAAAGGCATCATTTTCATCCGCCGAGATCATAGATCAAATGTTAAAAGATGAGGCGACAATGACTGAGGAAGAATATTATAAGAAGTACCCTTACTATAGTAAGATCTGATATCCCCTAACTCTATAGCATAAGCTAATTTATTATTCTAGAGAATGACCCTACTATTAAGGGTGTTTCTGCTGATGTGGCTATGGAATTTTTAATGGAAAGATTCGGGTCAATCTGAATGCCTAGAGTAGAGGATAATTGTGGACGCCACTTCCCAAGAGCAAGAACTGGCGTCCGACGAGATATCGCGTTCCCAGTTTATCGACGTGGTCAAGGAATGAATTCGACGTGGTCAAGGAGCGAATTCGACGTGGTCAAGGAACGAATTCGACGAAGCATGGGGCCGCGAATTGTTGTTGGGCACGTTCAACCCTATGGTTGTTGGCGAACTTTTTGTTGATCAATGCACGCCTTGGTAGCATATTGCCTCAGATCTTAGATCGGAGATTCTTGAAGTCGTGAATGACATTCTGAAGCCGATGGTAGACCACATTGCAATACAGGAAACTGCGTCTAGTATTTTATCCCTTATCTGAGCATCTCTAGAGCCGTTCAAAAATGACCTGGAAGTGAAACTCAGAGAGTTGCTCACGTCGCACATTGAAGGCCATCCGATAACGTATAATCACTACCTGACAGATACAGTACAAACAGTCCAAGAGGAGAGGCGTCGAAACAGTCTGGGAAAACAATTTCTTGAGACAATAGGGCCTGAACAGTTTGATAGTGGTCAAAAAAGCAACATTTATCCCGCTCGAGTCTTCAAGCAACTAGGAAACTACATTAAAGTTGATATGGAGCGTAGTGGCAGCGAACTCGTAGTCGACTATATGGAGGCCTATTTTAAGGTCAGTACACCACTCAATATTTGTCTCTAGGTTGTCAATTCGAGGTCAATCAGTTTATTGGCATACGCTAAAGCTCACAAGAAATTTATTGACGATATTAGTGTGCTGGCAGCAGAGAGGTGCCTTATCAACAAACTGCCATCCTTGTTTCCATCAGAAACCATCCTAGACCTGCGGGATGACGAGGTAGCTGATATGGCCACAGAAAGTGATGCACTGTTACTAGAGAGGGCACTAAAATAGACAGAAGCTCGCGCCTTTGTGGCTGCCGAAGGTATCATTGCCGCCTTTCAGTCGACCAGATCAAAAAGAGTGTAACTAGATACACATTATTAATTCATCACTGATATTCTGTGTGTGGAGTTGTCGGGGCCATCCCAACCACATCTGACAATGGTAGACTTCCCAGGCCTCTTCCGGGCGGGAAATAGCATTGTTATCATCCCCCCCGCTATCACCCCTATTTTGCTGTAACGCTTTAGACATAGGAATTTCTTCGCCACCAACGACCCCTTGGTATTCGAGTATCGAACCGGAACGTAATGTCTCATAGGCAGCGGAGATTGGTGTGCTACGACCCGATGTGACGTCTAGGATGCGATCTCTTTGCGCCCGCGGGATGTGGATCCAAGACCCGAGACCGGCAAGAATTTTGGCATTTATTGGCTCATGCATGTGTGTGACGCACTCTAAGTTGTCATGCTTTGTGTGGCATTCGGCGTGAGGCGGTCGAGGAGCATCTTGTCTTGGGTCCCGGAAAGCTCCCGCGGGTAGCTGTCGACTCTTGCCAATATATAAGATGAAATGCTTGAAAGTATGCACTTTTATTTATTTACCTCCTCATTGTCATTGCCGCTACAGGACCATGCCTGACGATAATAAAAAATTTGAAGAGGTCTTCTACCGTTTGGCCGAAGACCTTAGACAGCAATGTATTGAGCATGAGAAGGTTCCAGGTCAGGTTTGGAATTGGTTTGAAAAGGTAACCCAGTCTACACCTTTTCGTCTTTGCAACAACTGACTTTTATACAGTCCCTCACTTATAACGTCATTGGAGGCAAGTACAACCGCGGCCTTTCTGTGGTTCACACAACGCGGCTCCTCCTTGGTCGCGACTTGGAATCGGATGAATACTTGCATGCTGCCACGTTGGGCTGGTTGGTTGAGCTTTTGCAGGCCATGATGCTTGTCTTGGATGACATCATGGACTCGGCGGCGACACGTCGCGGCCGCCCTTGTTGGTATCTGATGCCAGAGGTCGGCATGATTGCTGTCAACGACGCACCTATGCTGGAAAGCGCCATCTACCTATTACTCAGAAAGCATTTCCGGCAACACCCGGCATACGTGGACATGATCGAGCTGCTCCAGCACGTCTCTTTCCAGGTCGAACTCGGACAGACCTACGACATGCTCGTGGCGATGCAAGACCTTGAAAGCTTCAACCTGGAAAAGTATAATGGCATTGCGACTCACAAGACCTCCTACTACAGCTTCTACCTGCCTGTCGCGCTTGCACTTCTCTACACGGGCCGGTCATCCGCTCGGAACCTTGATCAGGCTAGAAACATCCTCCTATCCATGGGCAGGTACTTTCAAGTGCAAGACGACTACCTTGATAACTTCGCTGACCCAACGACTCTGGGTAAGATTGGCACGGATATTAAGGACGGAAAGTGTTCTTGGCTCGTGATTCAGGCCATGCGGCTTTGCAACGAGGAGCAGATGGCAGTTTTAAGGGAAAACTACGGCCGGAACGATGATAATTGTGAGAAGAGGATAAAAGAACTCTATGACCAGTTAGAATTGGATAAGGTGTACAGCGTGCACGAAGAGGAAGCTATGAAGGAGATTAATGGTCTGATTGATAACGTGGACGAGGCAGATGGGCTGACAAAGACAGTGTTCACCGCGTTCTTGAATAGGATCCATGGGAGAAGCAAATAGATGATGAATTTCCAAGTATCACGAAATCGGTACAAGTGCAGGGCTACAGTGAATTCGCGCCAGGCATTGTAGATTAATCGGTTTAATACACAAGTAAACAGCTATTTGGCAGATCAAGAAAAGAGGACCGTCATGTCTAGCGCGCGTTGTAAGGGAGGCGAAAATAATAGGAAAGGATTTACTTACTCTTCACGCTCCCGAAGCGTTGTGTACACCGGGACATATTACCGCTTATAAGACACCCTGAGTGCTTGACTCCTTGCTACTTGGGCCACTCGGAATCCTGAAAGCAGCACCAAAGTGCCAACGTGGTCTATACTCGAGGCGGAGATGGTAATATTTTCTCGTCTAAGTTAGCCATGTGACTATATTGCACTCCTTTAGGCATATTGAGTCGGGAAATACTTAGACAACAATGTATTTTCCATCTAACTACAATCCCGCCCTCGAAGTCGACAAATATGAAAGTGCCTGAGCTGGCGAAGTAATCTATTAGCGGGGGGGCATCTAGTGCCAGGTCGTACGGCCAAAAGAAATACTACCATCTCCGCCTCGAGTTCACTTCTCATTTAGACTAGCCCAGATATTCGAAGCTCCCACTAATAGACTATGACATAGTCATTCCTCTCTCTAGTAATCTAACTAGTTATAGAGGGATCTTAAGACCCCCACCCCTAACCTCATACTGGCCTAGACTATACCTCGTAGTCTTCTTGCTCCATTCTATCAGGCCAGTAACCAAGGTACGACAATTATCAGCGTAAACATGCAAGTCGTTGTGTAATGTACGATCTTCCCTGGTTGTGGCATCTAAATTGCAAAGAGCCTTCTCAAAATTTTGAACTGAATCACAAATCATAGTTGTGAGTTCGTCCATACACTCTGCCAAAGTCGTCGTGCTGCTTGTATTTAGCAGTATGGGAACAATGTTCTGCGGGGCTCCAGACATCTTAGAAGTTTTCTATTAGCTAGTGATGCATCTAATCGATTGAAGGGACTAGGGAACATACGATTTCTTTCTGTAGGGAGTAGATATCGTTGACACTGTTAAAGTTAATATCCTCACTCAACCTTGAGACCTATGGACTTACAACATAGCCAACTTGGTCGTCTCATTTTTCAAAATAGTCATCTCGTCCGCCTGCATGATCCATTCTGGGAGGCGCATTTTATTCATGTAGCTGTTAGAGTGAGGAAGTTAGCTTATACTAGAGGAAGTATACCACCAGGGAGAAGCATTACTCGGAAAAAGCAAGAAATACCAGCATGCCGGACGTGCCCATGCGCATCTGTAGATACTCGTCCACATTCGGTAGAGCCCTATCATGTTGTCGCGCATGTTCTATCACAACTTCGGAGATGTAAAATTCAATCTCAGCGAAAAGGCGCTGGCGATGCACTGAGTCGCAAGTTAGTGAAACACACATGATGAGACAAACCATGGTCAAACCAAACCTTGGTCAGTGCCATTGACTAGCGATGAGGCAAATTTGTCGAATAGATCCATTATCGGAAATGGAGATCGCATTTTGACCTCGATGTTGCCTTCTGGAGGGGAGAGCCCGAGAGACATCTGTGCTGATTCGGCAGACTTTCTACAGTATGCAGCTGCTTCGCTTTTGGTACCAGCAATGCTAGGTTCAGCCAGGTCCAAATCGTCATCCCAGACAAATATCCATATGAGAAAGACAGCAAAGCTTTGAATTTCCTCCCAACCGGCATTTGGGCAAATCCTGGCTATCGTGAGACAATGTAAGATATTCCGAGGTTGAACGCCGGCTTACAGACAAGCAAGAAGTGCAAAATCATAATCAATGACTTTACTGATCTTCTCGGGATTATTTATAACGCTGCTGTTAGTTAATATGAGTTTAAAGACATAGGCCTCTAGACGTACGCTTCAAGCATTGGTCTTACCCGCTGCCGAAGCTGGTCCAGGTGAGGGTTAATGTCCGTCTGCCAATCACCAAGGAGAGTGAGCAAGTCAGGCACATGCAGCTCCTTCCCGGAGAGCCGGCTAAGCAAGTCGTTAATTTGGTCTGCCATTGCGCAACGTGGTAGTTCAATTTAGGAGAGGGTATGTTTATCGAAATAGGTTGAAGATTGTCACTAGTTTGTTCCTCTCCCAGAATGACAACAGCAGTCCTCGGCTTTATACTGTCCACCCGAGCCTGACTTTTCCAGGAAAGAAGATAAGCCGTAGTGCACTGACGGCTAAATTAAGACGTCATATACCCATCCACTGACGCTATACATAGGATGCTAAGTCATGTATGTGATAGACTTGATCTAGAAGGTAGGAGTTATGCTACTGACTCAAATGTCCCGCTGCGATCACGCCCTGGATTAACTGTGGTTTGCACATGACTCTCTGATTTGACGTAATCCCACATCTCAGAAAGAGATGGGCCTTAGATTGGAATATTGATACAATGATGGACATTGGAACGCACTGAATCGGGATGAATCAGTATTTTCCCCAAGAATAATCTTTGTCTTTGTATTTGCATTTTTGTGAACTAGCTTTACATGATGAAAATCACACGGTCCTAACGCCGGTCTGGGACAAAAGAAAAGGTTACACAAAAAGATACATGCAGCTGTCTACTAGGAATGTAAAACAGATCAGGAGGGAATAGAGGTTACAGGCGGCTAAAAGCGTCTTGCCGTAGTTTCCGGCAATGAATCGATACAAAGACTCTACCGTATATTGCCAGACGACCAGGGGTTAACATTGCGGTAAGTTGCGGCTTCATCACGTTCTGGTAATCCAAGAAGCAAATGATCCATACAACATATACGAGTGGCAAGAAAACGTGAAATTCTGGGAATGCTAGTGGAAGAATGAGAGCCTGGTTCGCCATGCTGTATACTGGTGACGATCGGATACGACAGGAGGCCTCCCAAAAGTGAATTAACAGCTTTTATGTCCCAGATTATCTGACCGTGTATGAAGCTAAGCTTGTTTCATGGGACACGGAATCAAGTGGGCGACATGAGGGATGAGAACCAAGCTCTTGCGCCTTATTTTTAGCTATATACTACGGCAAAAGAGATATAATAAGACTTGGAAAAACACATTTCTTCTTTCTATAGCCTTTGAACTATCTTGCAGTCCTCTTCTTCAGTTTTTGAGCTGATTTAGGATTAAGTTACAGTGGACAAAACATAGAGCCTCTCCGGTCATGGACGCCTGAAGTACTGGTTTAGTGTCTCATCCCTTGTGACACCGACTTGGGAAGGTAGGCGGGGGAGGAATGCCATCGTTGCTTAGAGGTGAGAACAGGTGGGCGGTGTAATAATCTCTAAGGGGTAGCTAGCTTTCTAACCAGGGATTGGATGACCTTGATAATCGGTTGAGACATGCGTGTTGGTGAGGGTTTCAGGGGCTTGAAGCTGGTCCCATCTGGTGTCTATTTGCTCATTCAAACATCATTTGAAACTTCATGCCGATATATTCAACATATCTTGGGAAAACATAACGCATTTTCTCCGTATTTCTAGCAAAAACCTACTGCCGATTGTGGGGGGTAACCCCGCAGCGACAATACGCATTTAATGGTGCTGATCCACGTAAGAGCACCTCCAGTACCTCGGCCATGCTTGCTTATCTTTCAGTCATTCCTTTTTGGCTAATAAGCTCATACATTCTTGATCCGTAGGCATATTTTTCGACTGAGTGAGGCAAATCAATGACATCATTTGTAGGCCGCGCCAATTTCGGCACTGGTTAGCTTCATTGCGTTCGTGTAGTTTGGGTTATTTAGTGCCGACATCCTTTTACTAACTCGTTGTTATGTCTCATAACCACTCGATTACTTATTCGTTTATCCTAATTCAGATGACCGGTCAACTGACCTCGCAAAGCTAGCTCAATACACCTAAGTTGATCATCGGAGTGGAAGTCAATATTCCTTCCCCATAATCCCGACGCATGTTTCTTCCCTATTCTAGCTTCTTCACTTCTATCACCGATTTTGGAAAGATAACGGGATATTTGTTTATTACTGACGATAGCAAGAATGCCTTCTGACCCTTAATTTTCAATGGCAGTTAAGATGAAAATTACCCTCCGGAGTGACTGTGTCTATCTATACGTGTAGAACCTAAGGAGCTATCCCCAAGTATCAAACCTCATCTCTAAAGAAGTTTTGCATCTATGTTCTCATAAAGTAAAGTACTTCCATCTATTAGGACTACTGTATCGATTGCTCCAAAATATTTGAAATACAGCTTCGTTGAGGCTATGCTCATCCAAAGGTAAAATCCTACCGAGGGTGCAAGAAGATGGCCAAACATTGACAGCCTCCTTGATGTTTCCATCATCTTGCTTTAGATCATTGCTTAGTATGGCGGCTTTGGGTCCTTCACTCATGAATGTTTACTGGATCGAGCATACTTCTGATGTTCTTTCGAGATTATCCAAGTGGTGAAGTACTTCTGTACTTGCTTCCAGAATTCTTCAAGGAGAATTCTTCATAAGATAAAGTGCTTCCCCTCTACCCTCAATAGTTAACTGAGGTCTTCACGCTGAGGCATTTTAGAGGAGACAGTTAAAAATATTGCATCACGATAGGACATTAGCATTCATTTTAGCTAATGATAGGTACTATACGATGATTACAGATATAAGATAAATGAACCATGTCTGTAATTCCCTCCCTGACATTGCAAACTATTAACACTTCTTCCGACCTTTAGATCCTTCAAGGGCTATAAGCCACAACCTGAATCTCAATCCTCATCTCTGGCATACCTAATCGCTCAACTGGCAATGCCACCCAGATGGGTTTTTGTTCTGGCATCCATTTACGAAACTGTTGCCCCATTTTATTCAAAATTTCGGGTGTGAAGTTGGCGTGGTATGAATTGACGCGAAATACTTGAGACCAGCCTGTACCCCCAGCACTGCGAAGTGCGAGATCAACATTCTCAAATGCTTGGGATATTTCGTCGTCTATGTCATCTGGTATAGCTACACCATGCACTTTGGGATCCCATCCACCTATCTTTGTTAGAAATACGCATGAACGTAATTTGGCGAAAGAAGCTTCTAACCTTGACCAGAACATTCGATTCTATCACCGACACGGACTGCTTGAGAATAGCTGAGATTATCTCGAGCCCACTCTCCGTGATGTGGATAAATGAAGTATTCGAGTTGAGACATGGCTTCTTCCTTGGTCGTTGCCTTTCGTGAACTAAGTTGAACTATTTGTAATAGGATAATTTGCAGCTAGGTAATGGTCATAAGGTGGTATATATATGCTCACTACCTGTTTAGAATCAACTCTTGATAGAGTCCATGTGGGCAACCAAAACAAAATTTTCAGGGCAGGGGGCGTCATAAAACTTCCTTTACGCACCAAGAAACTTTAGTAAACACGTCTTACTTTCGTTTATGCCAAGATGGTTTCACCGGTTTAGCTTTCATATCCTGCTATTTGTGACGTGACACCTCTGTACGATTTTTCAAATCCGAAACCTTTTGACCAAAGTCAGAAACATAAGAATCCGGAAAAACCGGCCAGATGGCCATTTATGACATTCCAGGAAGCATATCATGACGTATTGTCTTTCGATTTCTCTCTTCAGATTTCTCTCTTCAGATTCAGTTTAAAGAACCAAGTCAGATTTACATACGAGGCAGAGGTGTCACATTCCCTTCACATAATTCGCAGTGTTTTAAAGTTGTCTCGGGTTCATATCCAAGGAGTCGGAATGAGACAGTTCGTCGTATTTCCGCGTGTCTGACATGTTCGTAGTGAGTTATTTGTCGCAGTTACAGTGGCAATGAGAACGGATCGCGGCACGGGCATAAGTTTGGCGGCGTTCATTGTCTTAGTGCGACTGTCGAAGGCTTTGGCAGGGCTTCAATTGCAACACAATCTTGACAAACTACATCTGCAAGTCAAACAGATTTTCATGGTGCAGCACGCAGCTGTAGGAATGCTCTATTCTAAAACCTGATCCACGTCATTGGCTCAATCTATGATGATACTAAGATTCTTTCACCGACTTGTAGCACACCAAAACAAAGAAGTGGAGAGAACCTCAGATCAGACCAAATGGCTTCGAATACTGGTGCTGGATTGTTACCTTGCCCGCGGCATTTAAAAGCAGTATTGAAACAGCAAGAGCGCGGGGGTCCACTCAATACAGGGATGGAAAATAATCTTGGCCTGACCTTTCACATGCTCTTCGGTCATTTAGTTGGATGGTGCTGTGGCCCCATCTTGACAGAAAAGATTTTGCTGTTGCTGATCTAGCTATTCTCTTCCTGGGGGTCATTCACTTAGAACACTTCAGAAGGTTTTCGCCCTCTGAAAGCGAGACAGCTCAATGTAGGTTTGTAAAGCTATCGGAGTGATGAGAACTCCTCGTATTCGATTTGCTAAGTGATTCAGGATGATTCATCATAGCTCTACTCAAAGACTTGTTTAATAGCCTAGAAGAGGCTAGTCAATACGATATCGCACCCGTGCATGTCAGTGGCCTTCCAACCAGAGGGGAGTAGTAGCGGCCGATCCTATATTCAACCTAAGACATAAGTCGCCACTTTAGGATTTGAGTAGAGTCGGTGAGCAATATTGGAATAGTTCCTAAAAGCAGGAGCATTTATTGTCAGTCTACTATATACTTATTATAACAATCACATCTGAATGCCCTCCGCTGATCAGCAAGCACACCATGAGGTAGTCAAGATTTGGTTGCATTTCGAAGCATGTAGCAGGATTTGAGGCCTTTTCTCTCTATGCACAAGGCCACAATTATCAGATTTGTCTCGGGGCTGGCCGGTCGTGGTGATGATGATTGGAACCACGTAGAAAAAAGAGAGTCCACTCAAGAAAGCGCCATAATATCATTACATAGACCGAGGTTCCGATGGCGTCATGTGTTTGAAACAACAAAAGCAAAAAAAGCAAACCTCAATGCCAGCAAATTAGGAATATAAAAGAATCCATGGTAGTACCTCTTGACCTTCCATCTACAAGTCAACCAAATCGTACCTTCAAAAAACATTGACCACAATACCTCTACTATAATTACTTTTGAAATACGCCAAAGGACGCATTTACATAATGAACATCTACGAAGGAAAGAACGAGCTAAAAGTCATCGTTGTGGGCGGTGGCATCGCTGGACTTTCTCTCGCGAATATGCTCGAGAAGGCCAACATCAACTACATCCTTCTTGAAGCACACACGGATCTTACACCCCAAGTAGGGGCAGGGATTGCGCTGCTACCTAATGGCTTACGTATCTTAGATCAGCTTGGGTGCTATCCTCAACTCCAAGAGGTATCTGAGAGTATCAAGCATAAACTTAATCTACGTGGGCAAGGGGGAAAGATCTTTAGTAAGGGATCGAGTTTTGCATTTTCTGCGCAATTAGAAAAGAGGTACGTCATTATATAGGTCTCAGAAGTCCCAGGCCATGTTCTCACCAGCCATAGACTTGGTTATCCTCAGATTTTCACGGAGCGACAGCAACTCCTTCGCATCCTCCATGAAAATTTGAAAGAAAGATCTCGTTGTGTGACAAACAAACGCGTTGAGCGGGTTGAGTTGTGTCAAGATAGGGTCCAAGTTCATACGGGAGATGGATCTCTGTATGAAGGGGACCTTGTGGTGGGTGCAGATGGGGCTCACAGCATTGTTCGAGAGCAGATGTTACGCCTTATTCCAAAGTCGATCCAAAAGATCCCCGATACATTTTGTGAGTTAGCAATAGTGTCTATCTGTGTCCTGTCGATTAACTTCATACAGTTAGTTCAGCCAATGTTCGATGCATGTTCGGAATATCAGAAAATGTTCAGTCTCTACCGTGTGACTCCGAAGACATGATAACCTATCCCGGACGAAGTTATCTCATCATCTCAGGTCCAAGTCACCGGACGTACTGGTTCTTATTTGAGTCTTTGGATAAAATGATACACGGAACAAGCTTAACACGGTATTCAGAGGACGATGAAATACGCATGGTGAAAAGATACGCCAATGATCGTGTAGGGGATTCGACAAATTTTCAGGATGTCTATCAAAATCGTTTAAAGTCTGTCTTAGTGCCGATCGAGGAATTCGTCTCAACAAGATGGAGTTATGATCGAATCATAACAATTGGCGATTCTGCTCATAAGGTAATTATCCCGTGAGACATGCCTCTGCTTTGTGCATGCATTCGTTGTATGACAAGTGCTCAAACTCGTTCTCTTAGATTGATCCCATATCTGGCCAAGGTGGAAATAACGCAATAGAAGATGCGGCAACTCTCGTCAATTCCCTCACCCGCTGGCGTAGCAGTTACCATTCTCGCCAGGAATCCATAGCAACAGTTTTATCTACGGTTCAAAGAAGCCGGGTGGACCGAATAAGGCAGCTTGTCAAGGAGGCACATTTGTTGCAAAGCATACTCACTCAAAAAACGTTCGCTTCACGAATTATTACGAAGTACTTGGTACCAGCATTCGGCATAGATAACTTATTCTTACGTCGGATAAACACAGTATGTGTGGAGGCTCCGCATATAAACATACTCCCAATACCTACGAGAACACGCTCGACACCGTTCAATGACGAGTTGCCATCACGGCCAAAACACAACCAACGATTGCGACAGAGTACTTGGCATCTCTTTATCGGCGTTATGGTCTTCTGTTGCTATTCTCTCATGTTTCATTATTCGCCATTTCTTGGATATATTCTATCTTAGCAGTACTTTGTCTTGGAATACTAGTGCAAAAACCAATCAGATTTATGTTGAAACGTGACGCGTCGAATGATAGCTATTGCTGGGAGTTACGGGTAGGTCCCAACGGTAGTCGGGTTGATGTTCTTGTAGACGAAGCAAGCCGGGATGTTACCGGACCTAAATGGTACCATATATGGGAACTCATGTGTAGGAAAGTAGGCGTAGGCTACAAACAGAAAATAACTTGTTCTGAGCTAGGGGAGAACGGCAGGTTGGAAGTCAAATCTTCGAGCCTCTCATACTCCTTTCCCTCTGCTTCTCCCAGTATTCTCTTCGTCGTCTCCATTACTCCTACTTGCAGCTCTTCCGCCTTCTTCCATCGACCTTGGCTCATTCCCTAAGCTCCTTGTAGCACAATCTTCAGCATCTACACCTCATCGAAATATCACGGTCCTATTTTACATTATGAAGTCAATTACAGAGAAGGAACTCAGTCGGGTTGCTGCATTGATGATCTAACTGTGACATCAAATGGAGCAGTATCTTACCAATAAAGTGTCATCCTCATTTCCATCAGAAACCACCCTAGGCCTGCGAGATGACGAGGCAGCCCATATAGCTACAGAAAGCTATACACTGTCACTAGAAAGAGCTCGGTATAGACAGAATCTCACGACTCTAGAGGATGAGGACCCCAAGCTTCGCTGCCTTGCAAATGCTGACAGTATCTAGTCTCGCCTATCCCTTAACCTGTTGAACAAGTGCATAGTACTGAGGGTTCAGAAGCTGGACTGTCAAAAGACGGGCATACCTCGTTTACCGAGCAGTCGCAGCATGAAAACGCCAATAACGGTAATGAATATACCCAGCTTGGTCAACTCAAATTTGACGATGACGGGCAGCCAAGTGCCAAAAAGAAAAAAAAGAAATAGGCACCATATTAAAATTTCATTAAGTTTATTATGGCCCGGGACTTTGGAGCATTTAGGGCCCAGAAAGTATGGCTGGTTTATATGTCCGGCTTTGTCTCTTTTCCTTATTAAATCCCCCATAGTGATCCTTCATCTTCAACTATCTTCCAAATTTCTATGTTGATAGCACGTATTCTCGTGCGGTGTATTAACTGGCTGGCTTGGAGGCTATTCCCCAGGTGTTCAGCGCCCTATCTACAGGAGCTAAAGCGGCTCCTATTATCAGCGACGCGAGTCGTTTCTAATTCATATGATTATAGAATGAATGTGTTGTGCTGCGGTCATTACCCCCTGGATTGCCATCGAGGCGACCTGTAGCAAGTGCAAATCGCATCGTGGCCTGAGCTTTCGTGTTTGGATTCCACTTTGGTTGCCAAGGATTCCAGATAAGCGATACTTGCTGGGAGTGATAAGATAATCACGGGAGTTAATTAACTAATACCAGTGATAATGGAAGGCAGGCTATTTGCTTTTGAGTTGATTAAACAGCTTGGCTTAGCCAGAGGGCAAAGGAGTAACCAATGCATGTCTTCGAGAGACGCCAATTGGCTGACCAAGCCAGAATAGGACCAGGGTGTCAGTTAGTGGAGGAGCCAGCCAAGTTGGGCGTCAGAATAACAGGGACTGCAAATGGGTTTGAATCCCAACTTTTCTAAACAGGCCACGATCTTGATAGACAATAGCAAATAATAATAGTATAAGATTATTGAGCACTTATTAGGCAATATTATCTGATTACTATTACACAATAGAAAGCAGTATTTTGTGACCAACTGCCACAATAATTCTGCAGAGGATTCTGCAGAGGTGACTTTGCAGTCCCCTTGTTTCCGACAGCCCCTTGACACAAAGACAATCTTTGGCTATCTCCATACCTACTTTTGATTGACTGATTTACGAGTTGCAATCCACACAGGGGGTTACACAAAAGTGACTTGAAAGCCCTTAATGGAGCTCCTCTTGCTTCTAAAAGATTCTAGGACACATCTAAAACCTCCACTCGTCGATGTCATCTCCAGAAAAAAACCCTCAGAGATAATACATCAGCCTTCAATACAAATCCTCCACCGTGCTGCTCTGTTTCAGTATTTTCAATTCATATTATCTTCTTACGCTCAGTACAAGAATATATCTTCTCAAGAATGCCACTCAGACTGGATCCCGAGTTAGCAGAGGCTATGGCGCCGTTCGCTGCGGCTCCGAAGCCTGACTTTCAAGACGCTCTGCAGATTCGTGCGTCAAATTCTGCCGTGGCTGCAGTCACTTTTATGGCCGTTCCGTTCCCCGAGGGTATTGAAGAAACCAGCCACTCCATTACATCACTTGATGGAAGCACCTCAATTGAGGTTCGTCGCTTCCTCCCCCGCGCAGTCAAGGACGGGCCTGGACCGCACCGAGCTGTTTTGTTTGCATTTGGAGGGGGTTTTGTCTCGGGCAGTGTCCAAGAATTTCGGTCGTTTATTGGAAAAGCTGCAGTAGAGACGCAATCACAGTATTTTGGCGTGCAATACCGCTACGCCCCCGAACATCCCTTCCCGGCAGCAGTGGAGGACGTCTTTTCTGCTCTCAAGTGGGTACAGGAACACGCCGCCGAGTTCAACGTCGATCCAGCTCGTGTCATTGTTCATGGGCATAGTGCGGGTGCTGGTCTTGTTGCAGGCGTGGCACTGATGGCCAGGGACAAGGGCTTGAGCCCCCCTCTCGCCGGTCAAGTGTTGAAGTACCCTATGCTCGATGACCGCACGAGTTTGAGCGAGGATCATCCCCTCACTCCATTCCTCTCCTGGCCAGACAAAGCCAATAAGATCGCCTGGCAGGCGTACCTGGGGGGTAAAGAACAGTGTAGGTTGAACCTAATATGTGATCCTCTTTGCGGCATCCGTACTAACCTACCCGTAGCTAAAAGAACCGAGGGCACTGTTTCTCCATATGCCGCCCCAGCAAGAGCACATGACTTGAGCGGGCTCCCTAAGACATTCATTGAAGTGGGAGGGTTGGATCTCTTTAGAGACGAGAATATAGCATACGCCGCAAAACTTACATCGGCGAACGTGGAAGTGGAATTCCACCTTTACCCAGGGCTCTTCCACGCTTATGACGGGCTAGCACCGAACATTACTCTGGCAAAAGCTTCAGAGGAGAATATTTACAAATTCATAAAAACCCTCTAGATGTTACGTACGTCTTTGAAAGAAGCCCAACATCCCGATGCCCGGCTTCAAACTCAGATCTTTTACTCTGCATTTAAGATGTGACACGCCCCTGTCATATTATCAGGCACAGTAGTTACAGTGGAAGAGAATGATAGGCTGAAAAGTGAAAGAGAAATTAGAAGGGTAGATTGACAGATCCCACTTGACACATTATGGGACCATCCTTTTTCTTCAATTCTGATACTGTGACTATCCTCAAGAGTCAAAGCCCGGCGTCAATGTTGAAACTATTAATCTATTGTAGCTTAGAAACAAGGGCACCCAACAGGCCAGAAATCCCGAGGTCCAGCGTTGAACTTGATTAAGGGGTTGATTTCTTCTTAAGAACCTATTGCTAGGCCATCACAAGAGCCCTAATTGTGGTAAATAATAATAGATATCTCCTATAGTCTCCTCTCCTTTCTAGCTAATCTATATTATGCCAGGTCCTCTTGAGGGAGTGTACGTACCCTGTGGCAAAGAGTAGTTGCTGGCTAGGAAGAAGCCACTTAGGCGAGTTCTTGTCCTATAAGTTGTAGACTACTGAAATAGCAGCAGCAGCGTAACATAATTCCACAATAAACCATCGTATCGCAATCATTTTGATGACCTAGATTAATTGTTTTGGTATGATTTCGAAACTCAATGCTAACGGCGTTGGTGTGCCACATTTTATGTCCGAGAGCCGGATATCTCGGCTTCAATTCTCATCCCCAGTGAGACCTAACCTGAAGCGGAACGAGAGGGTAGCGGTATGGAAATAATAAGCAGCCGCTCCCCATGCTGTGGCTCAGCGTCACCATTACATCTCCCCTCGTTCCTCGTTCCTCGTTCCTTATTCACCATAGATCCCTCGCCGCAAGCAGTTCATCCCGGCCCAGCCTTAGCATGTCCCATCCGCCTCCTTCAAACAAACCGAACGAGCTGACGTTCGTGTTGGTGGATGGCCAACAGCCACCCCAACGCAAGGCAGCCCCAAAGCTTTACCACAAAAAGTCCAAAACGGGTTGCCAATTATGCAGAACGCGCCGCGTAAAGGTTAGTGTGGCCTCTCTTGTTTCAGCTGTTCATACTCAGGTGTGTCTAGTGTAATGAAGCCAAGCCCACCTGCCACCACTGCCAACGCCTAGGCCAACTCTGCGTCTATGACCGACAAGCACCTGGGGGCTCTCCTAGCACCGACAAAGAGGAGGAGACAGTGGGCACCGAAAGTGCAGTAGTAGTTGACGAGGGTGCCCCGAACGATCGGCACTACCGGCACGGGTCGGGAATATTCAAACGCGAGTCCGAGGAGCGCCGACGGCTTGAGCTGAAGCTTCTAACCCATTACTTCACGGAAACGGGACGATCTATTGCTGTAGACGAAGAAGGGAACCACTTCTGGGTTAATGTAATATGCAGCATGGCTTCTGAATCTGACGCATTGCTCTATGCTATATACGTGCTTTCAACATTACATCTCAACAGAAAGGGGCAATTCCCTGGCGCTGAACCGGAAGTCGTAAGGGCGTATTTAAGTATAGCCCTCCAACTGCACCAGAAGGACATTTCAGAAATCAGCAAGAGCAACTGCGACCACGTCTGCATGACGTCGAATATTCTCCGCGTGTATAGCTTCGCCGAACTGCAAGACCGACCTCTGGATCCATACGAGCCCCCATCCGAGTGGCTTAGGATGGTGGAGTCCAGTAGCAGTGTGTTTGCAAAAGCATGGGACTTTTACAAGGATGGGGGTAACCCGGAGCCTGTGGCGGTGAAGATGGTAAAGACTCTCTCTAATTCGCTTCGCAGCGCCGGTAGGCGAGCTAAGAGAGAGCACTTTGCGTACCTAATGAGTCGGAAGAGCGAATGTGAAATGCAAGAGAGCTGGGACAACAGAGATGTAGAAGCCTACGAGGCCACTGTCATGTTCCTCGAAGGCGTCTGGAGTTCATACTGCGATAAGCTTGAGCCCAGAAGTAGCATTGGGCGTAACGTCGCCTGTTTCCCGATGCTGGTCCACAAGTGTTTTGTTGAGAAGGTCGAGGAGCGACAACCGCGGGCGTTGGTAATGTTAGCACACTACTTTGCCCTGCTCACGATCTTGCGTGAGGCATGGTGGATTGGCGATGTTGGACAAAGGGAGGTCTACGCCATTTTCAACGCCGTGCCAAGCGCATGGAGGAGCCATCTCACTTGGCCAATGCAATTCGTCAACAAAGAAAAGGAGTCTGAGGGGGGTTCGCGTCTATGGGGGTAGCGTATAACCGGTCAACATATTAAGAAACCTTGTCATGTGCCGAGATATGCGGGCAGCTTTGCGTCAAAGAGCCATGGCCGTGTAGCCGTGTAACAATAATTATCTCCTTATTAAGGTAGTCACAAAATCTGACAGCAGAGTTCGGTTCAGCTCAGCCTTCCCACCAAACCAGCTCGTTGGAAATAGGGGGACCCGTGCACGTAAGAACTTAGCAACATCATCTTCGATCTCGCTCCCGAACGGGAAATCCATTCGAGCGAGCAGTAAATTGAATACACTTGATTGAAAAGTAGATTACTAGCATGGAGAGCGATACTATCAAATGTCGAACAACATGTATAAATGAGATGGTCATCATCCCACCTGTTTGAATTCGGCAATATGATTCTTCTAATCAATCTTCTTCAGCATCCCTTGTTCGAAACTCGTCGGCCAATAGCTAAAATCTATACGTGCACAAATCATTCAAGATTAGTCAAAATGGTCGATTCAATCTCGGTCGCGAAGCTTGTGGTATACATCATACTGCTTCCGCCTGCTCTGTTTGTGTTATGGAGGCATGGAAAGCCAGGGTTTCTTGGCTGGTTCTTCGTCCAGTGCTTTTGCATTCTCCGCATTGTCACCGGGGCTATAGGGCTAAGTGGAATATCCAGCAACTCCGCAACAGCCACGATCCTCAACAGTATTGGTCTCTCTCCCCTCCTTTTGGCGGGGGCGGGCATTTTGATAGAAGCGTATGTTACATTCCATTTCCCCAGAACTCGGCCTATCCATCGCTGCCATTTATCTAATATTATTGGTTCGTCAAAAAAACAGACGAAAAGCTACAAATCCCAGAGTCAACAGGAAGATGGAGAGGTTAATGGACATTTCCTTTCACGCGCTGGTCATTCTTGCAACGGTCTTGTCTATCATTGCCATCCTCAAATTACAAGAATTACAAATCATTGATAGCATGAAGGCTATGCTGAAGGCAAGTTCTGCTTTATCTGCCCTGGCATGGGCTGCCTTGGTGACCTGGACTGTATGCTCTTTGGTCTCGCTGCACGGATCCGGCTCTCAAATGGAGATACTTACAGCCCGCGCGGGCAAAACGGTAATGAATTTACTCCTCTTCAATCACCCAAATAATTCTCCTATGGTTCTTAGGAAAGCGCTGACCGGGTATTTCTACCTAGCTACTCCTTGGCTTAGTTATTGCAGTAAGCATTCTCGTCATCCGCTTGGCCTACGGCATCGCTTCGCTGCAAATGCGAGTATCGGACCCGGCTTCCAGCTTTCCATCAAACACAACTGCACAGATTCTTTTAATGATCATCCCAGAAATACTCGTCACTATGTCCTACATCATCAGTGGCATCCTGACGGTCTCTCTGAATGCAGACTTGAAGAAGACAAAACTGCTCTACGCTAGAGCGTCGTCAGAGCTTTCTCATGATCTCGGAGCCAACATTGCCTAAATAAGACACCTCATCACATCAACATACTGAGTTAGATGGGGGGAACCACGGCAATGACCTGTGAACCGGAGGATTTCCAGCCTTAGGCGGTTTTTCTAACTTTCTTTTTTTTCTTCTTCTCCTTCTTGAAAACCTTTCCAAAGGAGCTCGCTCTCTTTCTTATTTCTACGTATTCACAATATTTCATTGCCTCGTCTATGGGAGTTCGTTATCAACGCCCATTATATAATAAATCAAAATTGAAGGTTCCGCGGCGGTAGACTGAGAAGACTTTAGATTTCTCGCCGAAGTAAGCATTGTTAGAGCAAATTTTGGTAGAAAGATGGGGGTTTTCTAGCACCCTATTTTGTTGATTTTACGTGAAAGGCGATATCTATTAGCAGTTTTGTCGATTCTTTGGCGTCCAGGCGCAACCGTATAGTAGTTCAGGATTCCACCTAGCCTAGCCGATATATTCCATCCCGAAAGTCAGTATCTGATTAGGCAGAACTACGATATGAACCAGTCCCGTTTAGTGGGCCGCGATATATCCGTGAAGGTGAAGAGCGAGAGTCCTAGGTTACAGTTTCCGTTCTAATCTTGGCTTGGGCGCTATCGTACCGTTAGAAATTCAACACATCGGCCAAAAAGGTGTCGCTTGTTGCCGCTGTTGCAGGGAGGAAGCGCTTCTAGATGCTATCAAAGCAGCTGGCGCTACTCCCAAAATTCTTACTTGTCGGCGAGTCGATAAACATCACCCGCTGGTGTTCATAATGATTTCGTAAGGGGGTGATCCTAGGTTCATATACAAAATTTGCGCAATGCATCAGATAGCGTCCTCAATGGGGTATCCTTCTGATATGAAACAGACAGGGACTGATGCCATGGCTAACGCCGCAGATCTTGAGTGGGCATGGCCAGGCCAAAATGCTGCCGAAAAATACCGCGATATTGACGCAAACACGACGCTAAGACCTCATTTGGCGTCGTGCCTACACTGACCTTACTCAAACAGTCTAGAATTCACTCTGTTTGAGGGAGAATCCAGGAACTAGGTAGTACTGCAAGCAGCAAGAGTGAAAATGGATCTTCCAAATGGCTTCATCTGACTTTACAGCTCTCGGAAAACACGAGAAGTTGCTGGCTGGCCCGTGGTAAATACCTCACAACTGCAAACCAGAGGTACGTAGTCGGACGGTCCGCATTGTTAGGTGGTAGATCCGGGGTTGAAACAGCCCCAGAACATGGTTCGACGGTGACTGTACATCCTCCGCAGCTCCAAGGGCGGTCTTGTTCGCCAATTGGCTGCAAACCCTTCTGGTGACAAACTTCCATGCAGAGATGGCTTGGGTGGGGTGGCAAGGCTAAGAACAGGTGTGGATTAGGCCGAGTCGAATGCCGCCGTCAGGTGATGATCTCCATTTCGGCGGCAACATAGCTTTCAGGGGGTGGTGGCATGAGGAGGTTGGGCTCGCTGGTGAGCTAGGAACTGGAAGGGCAAGAAAGGGAGACTATACTCGCCAAAGGACAGCCTTCAGTAGACATATCGAGCCCGTGTAGTATCTAACAGAACGTCTTGCGTGGTCATGTTCAAGAAAATCGACATCTGACATGGCATCTCGGATCAATACCTGGCTCATCATCATCGTATTCCCGGCTGACCCCGCTCCCCGCATATCTTGGCGGCAAGCCGGGCACCGACCGACCCTGGGCAGAAGGTCAGATGCGTGGAAATCAGAACATGTTTATATCTCATCACCATCACGTAGAAGCTATGTTGTCTTTGTCTCCGCCTCAGTATCTAGAATCCAAGAGGAGGTCGCGGAGGAGAAACACGGGAAGATGCCGAGCCGAGACCGCCCGCCCGGGCCAACGGCTGTGGCTTGCACATTCGGGGTTTATTCCTAGTTCTCGAACAGCAAATTCTTAGTCGCAGAATCCATCTATCTTGAGGATGCCTAAACTGGCAGTTGCTAGAGCTTGAAGGTACGGTCAATGTCCTCCAAAACAGTGTAGCATTGCTTACCCATGTGGGCAGAGAGCAACGGACGCACACCTCAGTTCGCCGCTGCATTTTCACCAGGGTCGAGTCATACCCACTAGTACCATCAGGCTATTATGTGTATGCCTTTCGCCGTTCCTATAATTTGTCTCAATTAGGCTGCCCAGCGCCAGACAGGACATGCAAACCATGTCGATGCACACCGCACAGCTCCAGCAACAGATCTTATGAAGGGCACACCGTGGGAAGAAATGTAACATCGGGCCCTTTCTCCTTTCAGAAGGTTGAAGCACTCGCTAAATGGCTTACTTAATTTTTAGACTGATTTCCTGTTACTCAGAACGTTACCCGCCCCCTTTGGCATGGAGCTCACGTTCCCCTTGACCCACTGCTTCTCATTTCCAGGGCTTCGACTTCCACAAGCGCTTAGATATCCCGTTTGGGGAGCTGACTTGGGGTCTCCCGTCCTGTGACTCGGTGAGCCATGTACACGACCTACGGGGGACGAAATTTTCCAGTCTCGATCCGGCCATGTTAACCGCTCCCCTCCCACCCCTCGTTCCCACACATTGAATCATCTGGGGACCGGAGAAAGTTGGGGAACCATATGAGCCAACTTTGTCTCCGCAATGACCACTTCAGCCCTACCTCACGGAGCATCACACGCTAACTTCTCCGGTGAGGTGATCTCGTGCTAGAGGTTTCTATAAAGCTTCGATACCACCCTGGCGATTAGCAGTTTTTCCTCCCCCTCCGTACCACGAGGGCACGTCTGGCCAAGCTTGACATCTGCAGCTCACCCTTCCAGTCCTCCCTCCTATTTTTCGTCATAGACCCCCCTGTTATCCCAATTTTGATCCGTGCCCAACATGGCGGCCGAAACAGCGGCAGAGACCCGCACCAAGCTCGCCTATAAGAATCGATGGAAGACTCTGGCAAATAATCCCAAACTCATGGTGATTGCCCTGTTTGCCTCGTGAGTTCATCCGCCGTCCCCCGTGATATCGCAAGTCTAACATCGGCGAACAGATTCGGTGGATTTGAATATGGCTATCAACAGGGTGTTCTCGGCCAATCTCTGGTCATGTACCGCTTCAAGGACAACTTCCCCAACGTTGTCGCTTCATCCAGTGCGACTGGTTGGCTGACCTCCATCCTCCAGCTGGGTGGTATTCTCGGCTCTCTGTCCGCTGGCGTCCTCGGCGAGGTGATATCCCGTAAATACACCATGTTCTCGGCCTGCTGCTGGGTCATTCTTGGTAGCTACCTCTACTGCGGCGCTACTTATCATAATTCCTCTCTGCTATATGCCGGCCGCTTCTTCACTGGTCTCGGTGTTGGCACCTTCAGTGGTGTTGGGTGAGTTCTGTTCAGGTGCATGGTTGTGGACTTGATAGGGCAATCTTGCTAACATGAATTCTCAATGCATAGACCTTTATACAACGCCGAGTTATCCGCCCCCGAACTCCGTGGCTTTCTCGTTTCCTTCTACCAGTTCTGTACAATTCTCGGCATCATGCTTTCCTTCTGGATCGGCTACGGCAGTAACAACATTGGCGGCATCAGTGAGAATCAATCCGACCTAGCATGGAGATTGCCCTCCATCATTCAGGGTATACCTGCAGTGCTCCTCGCTGGCGGTATATGGTGGCTTCCTTTTTCTCCCCGCTGGCTGGTCAAGAAGGGCCGCAACGAAGAAGCTCTCAAGACGCTCTCATACCTACGCAAGCTCCCCGAAGATCACGACTTAGTCCAGGTCGAATACAAGGAAATCCAGGCAGAGTGTCTCTTTGAACAGCGCGCTTTTGCCAAATCCTTCCCCAACCTGGCCGCCAAGGAGGAAGGGAGCGTCTGGACCCGAGAGTTCGCCCAGTACTACGATATTGTCCGCACAAAGGATAACTTCAAGCGCGTTGCTACCGCCTGGCTCGTGATGTTCTGGCAGCAATGGTAATTTTCCCCTTCCACGTCTCTCTAAAGAAGAGTTGCTAATGAACATAGGTCTGGTATCGACGCCATCATTTACTACGCCAGTAACGTCTTTGAAAGTCTCGGATTGACTGGCGGAACTCAGGCGCTCCTCGCCACCGGTGTCACCGGCGTCGTCTTTTTCGTCTCAACCCTCCCCGCCATGGCCATCATCGACAAAGTCGGCCGTAAACCCATGCTCTACGTCGGCTCCGTCGTCATGTGGATCTCCATGGTCCTCGCGGGTATCATCGTCGCCAAGTTCCAGCACGACTGGGTTACTCACGCAGCTGCCGGCTGGACCGCCGTTGCATTCATTTGGGTCTACGTTGGAGCCTTTGGTGCTACTTGGGGCCCTGTGTCCTGGACTCTGGTCGCCGAGATATTCCCTCTTTCAATTAGATCCAAGGGCTCTTCAATTGGTGCTTCCAGTAACTGGGTAAGTCAATCACCTCGGAATTCTTTTCTAGCGATGAAGTATAGCCCTAACTAATTGCATGAATTCAGCTCAACAACTTCGCCGTTGCTTTCTATGTTCCCCCCATGTTTGAGAAGCTCGAATGGGGGACCTACATTTTCTTCGCTGTATTCCTCGCCGGTAGCATTGTTTGGTTGTACTTCTGCCTCCCCGAAACAAAGGGCGCCACCCTTGAAGAGATGGACCGCGTTTTCGGCAGCCACACGGGCGAGGAGGATGCCATTTTGCTCAATGAGGCGAGGAGAGACGTCGGCCTTCTTGATCTCCTTGAGCAGGACGCTATTAAAGCCGAGAAGGATATGTTGAATGAGAGCGAGAAGCAAGAGCACCATGAGGATGCGGAGGCATCTCGATAAGGGAGATGGTTAAATCTACAAAATTTGGTGTAAAATTTAAAGTTACATCCTGGAGGAATGAATCAAAGAGAAGGTATTATTACTTGGGATCAAGATAATGAGAACTATTAGAAGACTATATTTTTGAGTCTCGGGTATTAATACTCCCAACGCTCAACTTCCAACCTTATACAGGAATGTTGAGAAACCAATAATGAGAAATCAATAATGCTGCACAATCAAAAACTCAGCAAAGAGGCTGAACAAAGCTTTGCTGTACGAGTTGGGCGTGATGGCGTCCACAATGTCCCACCCCTCTCGCACCGTACGCTGGATATCCTCGTTACATCTGTCGATTGTGCCAGATGATTGCAAAGCTTCCACAAGAGCCGGTACGTCATGGGCTTCCCAGTATCCGTACCACTTCTCTCGGTCAGGGTGATCCATCGCAAACAGCTTGGCAACCGGGTACGTGATCTTGTGGTTGTAAAGGTCGTCTGCCGCATTTTTGCCAGAGACTTTACCGAGCACGTCCAGTACATCGTCCCGAATTTGGAAGGCAATACCTGCAGATTGGTCAGTGGGACATTACTCAATCTTGGGACTGGTGGAAATCTTACCCAGGTTCTGGACATATGCTCCGAGAGCTTCAATCTGCTTTGGTGTTCCTCCCCCGACAAGCGCGCCCACGGTGCCGCAGAAGGCAGCCGGAATGCCACTCTTGCACCGATGAAGGTTGATAACACGAGCCAGCATCTCTTCAGCTTCCTGAAGGGTTGGGAGTTTATCCATCGTCATGCCGTTGATATCGAGACCCTGGCCAGCATGGCCAACTCGCATCATCTCAAAGTACATGGCGTAAATGTCCCGCCGCTGCCTGTCGGTCAAGAGCTTGTTATCTCGGATGATGGTCTCTCCCCAAAAGTAAAGGGCACATCCGGCGTTTATCGCGGTCGGCACGCCCAAAACCTTGTGCACACAAGGACCGCCACGACGAGATTCACTCTCGTCCTGGATATCGTCAACGATCAGTGAGGCCGTGTGAACAAGCTCTGGAAGAACCAAGAAGGATCGCCAATCATTTGCGTTGCCCCCTACCATTCCGACAGCTGCTCCAAACAACATCGGTCGCCTTCGAGTAAAGTCAGTAAAGCTCATGATCTAGCTTGAATTGTGGACGCTCACCAGTTCTTGCCACCTCTGTTGTTCAGCATGTAAAACGCCTCGACAATGTTCTTCTGGATCACATTCTCCTCATAGCTGTCAAAGTGCACCTTGGTAATGTGCTTGAAGTGGTTTGGACGGATCGAATAAGGAACCCAAACGTCCACTTCCTTGCGAACAACAGATGTAGCGTTGCTCAAAATCTGCTCCATGGACCTAGACGCGTCTGTCCCCTTGGTAAGCTCCATGGCACCATATCCCTTCATGGGACCACCCTCCCAGGTGCCGGAGAAGCGAACCGCCCCCTCATAGAATGAGGGCATTCTCAACCAAGTCTGGAGCTCCTGGTTCTGCGTAACAGACTCAATCTCCAAGTCGACATTAAGACTCGGGATCTTGAGACTCCAACAAGTATCGAAGTTCTGGAAAGTGTGCCCTGACACCCAAGTCCTGCTCGACGTAAGAGAGAAATCTCTCAACTCGTGGCGGACACCTGCCTCGTCGTGGTACACGACATATTGCTCAAAGATTTCACCCTCGTTGATGACCTTCGAAACGTTAGCAGGTTAGAAGAAGTGGATTATATCGATATACTAACCTGGGTCACACAAATCTCCATGCTTTTTGGGCCGGATGTAAGCAGAGAGAACCAGTTCCAACCATATGACAGCGCCAACGGGTCCTGGTTGCTATCTCCTCCCAGGGAGTATTCGTGATCGACCCACGCTGTGCCCGTCACCTTCTCTCCTTTGTACACTCCCGTAGCTTCCGTTCGGGGCCAGCTGTAGTAGAACATGGAAGTACCCTTAACAAGAAATCAGTCAGCTGCAAACACAAATGGAGTGGGAAACGCACCTTCTTATCCTCATCGAGGGTTTCACCACCATCACCATGAAGCATCATCGGCTTTTCGGGGTGAACCTGGACGTCAAGGTCAATCTCGGGGACCTTGAGATGGTACGAGCCGTTCTCGCCGACTAATGATGCACCGTTGTCCCACTCGAGATGCAGCGCGGGATCGTCGCTGCCCTTGGAATGATGTATTTCCATGGGGCTTGAGAAAAGTCCATCGGGTTGGAAGGCTGGAACACCCTCACAGATTGGGCCCGACTTGAGCATTGCTTGAAACTTCTTTCCAAGGCCAGCGGGGTTCTCCCCTAGGCTCTTCGCAAGATACAGAGGTGCGCTGGCGGGCAATTTCGAAACGGTAGTATACTCCTGGGTCTTCCAGTCGAGGGTCGCATAGACGGCAGCCCAATTATGCTCCCTAGTCGAATCCAGCTCTGGGTCGGCGGTTTGGCGGAAGAGGCAGACGATCACGGTATGACTGGGATCATCGGATGTGGTAGAATTCCCATCACGGAGGTGAGTCTGTATGTAGTACCATTCTGCCTTTGCATCGAGCCTGGGGGCGTCGTTGATGCGAGGATCCGTTTCAGGGATGGGGGCATACTGGGGGCTGTTCAGAATCTCATCAAGAGGGAGCTCCAGTTCTTGCGTCACAATTCCATTCTTCTGGAGAATGGGCAGCACATGATGGCTGTGCAATACTTCGATATGTGGAGTAGCCATAGTGAATGAGTATGCTAAGAAGTGTAGGGGAGGAAATAACTTAGACAACTAAGCCAAGATACAGCCAGCATATATACCTCCTATCAAGATTGCGGCCCTGGACTCATGCCGCATGTCTGCTTTCAGAATGACACTGCAGACGGAACCTATGGTTCTAGGCTCAGCCAATATTCTGAGTTCAGTCTCACCCAGAAGTTGAAATCCCTTTCCCGCCGGATATGACAGGACCCTGTTTCTATCACAGTAGCGCTATGTGATGAAGGGATTGGAATGGTGGCACTGTAGGTTGCTAAGGGTGCAGATACAAAAAGTCCATGATATGAAGCTGATCATACTGAAGATGATCAGGATCCACCAAGTCCAGGCTTTTAGCAGACCACTCTGAGACTCCCGTCGGAAAGGATGGAGTTCTATCAGTTTTGTCACAGATAAGCCGCATACCAACGGAGAATCGATCACATTCTCTGTCCCGGTTTCGGCCAGGAGGGTCTCGAACTAGCCAAACTAGGCGCATCATTATGGCAATCATTCGTCTTAGCATCAGATAGCGTGACGGCAACCAGAAATTCGTGTTCCATATCCAGTACACTGCAATCATCGAGGAGCTCTCACTCGCGGGCTGTCTCACTTCAGTACATGTTCACATCAGATCGTCTCATGCAAATTTTGCAGCCTCTAAAAATCGAAACAGTACAGCATTCCTTGCTAGGTATGGTGGCAAACGACAGGAAGGTTATCAAGCTCCTGGCTACCGGCACATCTAAGTATTCAAACGGTGATTGGGTCGGTGTGCAAGATAGATCAGCGGCTCTCAGCGTGCGAGTGATAATTTTGCATCACGAATTCGCCAGGGAGGCAATGGTTGTGTCCGCAAGGCATAATCTCCATCTGAGATCTGCGATATTGCATGTGAGACATGATCATTGACGAAAGCAGCCTGACGGAAGCAGCAAAGGCAGCGGCCCGCGCATTAGACGGATCACTCCGGAACTCTTGACATCTGTGCTCGACCAAGTAGTCTGTTTCTAGGAGATGAAAAAGGGCGGATGTACATAGTTCGCCCGTTGCCATCGTCCCTACTCCACCCGTGTGATGAGGGACGGAACCAGAAGTCTGCTTATCGAACGAACTAAGCCTATGGGGCAAGGCTGGTCCAGTGTTTGAGGGCATCTCACTCCCATAGTGCGCCATGTCTCATCCTACACGCGTATTCATCGAGCCAACCGTTTGGGTTGATCCAGCTCGAATGGACCATGATACCCTCCTGACGAGTCAACATGCCACATAAACGGTAGTTGAGAATTGCCTAGCCCAACAATGTCTCACCTAGCTATGTATGTCCGGTGGGATGTTCCCCCAGTGGATTGGCCAGCAGGGTATCCAGGGATAGATGAAATCGGACATCCGAACTGGCACCAATATTGAGAGCGCATTACGGTGGGGAATATTGTCGAAAGTATGGCTCTTCACAGCAAAAGCTATGGATCACATATCTAGGGATGCTTGTAACCCAACCTGAAATTAGTCCGGGTCTGGAAGGGATTTCCCTTGGAGTGACGCGCTCATTGCTTTCGGAACACTTTGTTGTGATTACATAATGCAGCAAGGGTACGCGCTCTCAATCCTGTGCTTACATAATCAATTCTCACCTTCAACTCATAACAAGAAAAGCATTTCATGTTGTGCATGAATTACCTATTTCACCGAAGGTAGATGTGCTTGGCTCAGCCTATAACCCGGTGCCTCTTATCCAGACCGGTATCCTAGAGCCTACTTTAATATTCTAGATATTCCCGCTTAATATTTCACTAATACACTATTTGCTGGAGCCAAGTTGGGATGGTATGTTTGACGTTATGAGCTCTAGGGTAGGTGCATACTGCCTTCAATCTTGCCTGAATACTAACATTGTAACAAGTTGAGGTCACTGTGAGCGCAATGGGCAAAGACGACCTGAATATTCCATGTATTGCGGAATTTCATATTGTCCCGATAGGGTATATTTAGAACCCCCCGCGTGACATCTTGAGTCCCTCCTTGAGAGAGCTCTGCCCCGACGTTGCCGCGGCCATGGCCCGCATCCAGACCGCGCGAGTTCGTGCCTCCTCGAGTACCTGCAGTCCTTGGATCGTCGCGCCGCCAGGGCAAGCGACCTCGTAGCGCAAGTCGAGCGTCGACTTGCCGCTCATGATCAAATCAGCCGTTCCGCGCATTGTGGCAGCCGCCATCTGCGTCGCCTCGGTGTGCGACAGGCCCAGTGCCACGGCGCCATCTACCAGGCCGTCGATAACCATCGCGAAGAATGCCGGAGTTGACCCATTCAGAGTTGTGCAAGCTGCAAAATTCCCAGGCTTGGTAGTGAAGACAGTTCCCACACACGAGAAAATGGCATGCGCTGTGGCAATAACGCCCTTGAGTTGAGGCCGTGGATGGATTTCAAGGACGGTGCTTGAAGCTTGCACCGCGCTGGCGATGTTGGGCATGGCACGAATAACGGAGAAAGCATCAGTATCATAGACACCTTTGCTTTCCGTCTTGGCAGTTTGACAGAGCTGATGCGTAATCTCATTGGAGGTAACGCCTGCCAGCACCGAGATGATCGGCTTGCCTTTGAGTGCTGTGCATATCCCCGATTCCAGAAGAAGTGGTTTATAGAGGTGTGGTTGACAGGCCAACAAGATGACATCTGCCTCTCGTGCTGCGGCACAATTATCCTTCACATAGACGCTCACGGTTGAATCTGGTGCTTCGCGTGGCAATTTAGAGCGAATGGCATCTTCTGATTCAGGGCGTCGCACACAGGCGATGAATCGGGTCGGCAGTAGATCGATTTCCTGTGTCCCAGAACCAGAGCCTTGGGATGAGATGATCCCACTCAGGATCGCGGTCCCCATGGCGCCTTTGTTTAGGCATATATTATTAGACAGATTTACACTAGGTACTGCAACATTCTGTTGACTGAGAGAGACTAACCACAACCTAGGATTGCCAAGGTACGGCCCGATCGCTGGCCACTATTACCAGATGTTTGCAACAAGGCAGGCTGAATTTGGGAGGCCGCTGTAGGAGCCATGATGAGGTGCAATGGGGACAAGTCGATTTGATACGTTTGAGGAATGGAAGGTCTGGAGGTAGAATCCTGGCAAGCAACGATTTAGCGGGCGGCCTAAGTTTTGAAAATTCGCACGGGATATTTCTGCGATCCGAGGTAGTTATGAAATAGCTCACCAATGCCCGGATTGGCATGATTGCGCCTCGATGCAACCTCAATTTCAGCTGGCGGTGGTGGTCCAACAGGTAGGGTCGTCTTGCATATGCCTTAATACCTGACTGACTAGATGCAGCGCAGATTGCGATTAAAAAATGGCTCAAGCTGAGACAGAGTAAGCCTTGGTGACCCAATACAGCCAACCGGAATGGACATGAAGAACATGTACAGCTACACAAATACCCCGTGGCTGCAGTTCAGCGCACCCACCTACCCTGATTTCTGTAGATCTTTCTGAAATGAGAATATCCCGATATGCTACTTTATGCCGCTTACCATTGATACATCTGAAATGAATGACCTATTTCTTGCCTACGTCATTAGGCAACTGATTGGGGACGAGGGCAGCGCGTAGAATCAAAGACCCAAATTATTAGACTTGACGTCTCTCACGTTTGTGGATAGGCTTGGGAAAGAAACGATGTCTGTGGCATTCATGTTGTTTATTTCACAATGTTTTGAGACGTTTGGTCACTCTTTAGATATAATGAAAGCCAGTTGGTCGAGACTATTCAAATACGTAGATGATCAATGAATCCTTAGACTTGCAAGGTCAAGAGACAGCTCCACCGACTCGAGATCGCGCCACGTAAGTGAGATGCCAGCCAACTCCAAGTCATTCTTGATCTCCTCGACCGCGTGCTGCGAGAAAGGCAGCGGTTCAAGGTGTATGTGCCGGAGATGCGGAACCTTGGCTCGCCATTTGTGGGCTGGGGCTCGGAGCGCAGCGCCCATACCGCTGCGAGCCCATATACGTGCCAAGTCCTCCCCGCGCTCTGGGACGAACAGAAGCCTCAAGTAGGCAATATTTGGGGGCAGTGTTCTGAGAAACCTCGGCCAGGTGTTGACGTTGAGCCAGTCCAAAAACAAATAAGGCTCGATGCAGAGGTGGGTGAGCCGACGGAGGCTGGGGAGACATATGAGCTTCTCCAGTGGCCCAAGTTGCTCTGAGATGTGCTTATAAGGGCACGTGGTGGTTGTCAGGACTAGACGTTCTAGAGTTCCAAATCTTTCGAGGAGGATGGGGTTGAGATCGGCCTCAGGGAGTGCACCGGTAATTGAGTAGAGAGGCTCAGGAGCCCGGAAGTCGATGGACAGCGAGGTCAAATTGCTTGCCAATCCAATGAGAGACCCAAGTGGTGCAACCCCACCCGTGACGATCAGATTCAGCTCGTTCAGATGGATGGGGGCATTGCGGATTTGTCCATCCACGTTGATATCGTCTATGTAGTTGCAAGTCACATCCATGCGACCCAGACGGGGAAGATTTATTAGACAGGTTGAAAGACCACCTTCAAAGGCAGTATCCCAATAGTTCCCCGACGGTGCATATCGATTCCTGCCGAATGCGGCCTGGACTTTTAGCGTCTTCAGCTCCGAAAGAAAGCTGTCCTTGGTGCTTTGGGAGTTGACCAGATTGTGGACTGCCTCGTCAAACACCTCAGTGCCCGGGCCGAGGAGATCCAGCAAGAGCAGACTTTCTAATTTGGGGGCCATGGCGAGCAGCGCAGCCACTATTCTTGGCACCGGCTCATCGCCTGGACCTGCGATCAAGCCCACGGCGGAAAGAATATCCCTCTCATCGACACCCGGCTGCTCTATATACGTGCAGAATTTAGGCCAAAACTCGTTGATACGCCTCTTCATTACGCCACATACGTCGTCCGTGTTTGAGAGTGGTATTAACACAGCTAGGTTCTTTATCCATGGACGCAAGCTACTGTTTTCGGCCAGAGTTAGGCTCAAACGCACGAGAGGATCCACGGCCTTATCGTAGACATGCCGAAAGGGCAATACGACAGTGGGATATAGAACAATAGTCTCGTAGAGAAGCGGTCGGGCCATAGCCGACAACGTTCGCGAGGTCAGACAGAGCTGTCGCAGGGCATTCCGATTGGCGAGGAAGCTGGGGTCAGGCTGTGCCTGGTCTGGCGCCAGCCGCTGCAACACGAGGCTCTGCAGGACATGGCGCCAGAGCTCGACAGGAAGACTGGCCAGGGCCGGGGATGCCGGAGCCATGAGGAGAAGTGCGGCGTGCGTGAGGTTGAAGCCTCGAAATTGTCGGTGGTCGAAGAAGGGCCTTGTAACGTGGCTTTTTTTCCGGTAATAATCCGCAGATCCAGTTAATAATTACAGGCGGGTCAAATTCGGAGATACGGAGAGATTGAAGAGATACGGAGAGATTGAATCTGACTGACGCAACAGAACACACCTATTTCCATATCAGGTTAGTGTGGATGGCTAGGGATTGTATGGATTGAGTTGGGTTTCTTATATCTGTATTTAATATTGCCTTTGTATTAGAATAAAAGATACTATAGATTTAGCCTCTAAAATATTCAACATGATGGAGCCAATTGTGTTCTCATGCCCATCCGGACTCCCTCAATCCATCGGCCCGGGGCACCACACATCGTCAAAGAGCTGAGAGATCCAGTATTCATCATTCGCCCAGTCCCCAGAGGCACGGATCCGACCCCAAACCGGTTCTTCAAAATCAGAATTGTTATTCTTCGTCACTAACAAGCCGGCGACTGAAGGAAAACTCACTGCGGGTAGCTGCTTCGATCGCCGACCAACGTATAAACCCGATTTCGCTCGGTGTGAACACACCTGAGTATTGCTCAGCGTGGAGATTCCCCTCCAGCGCAAGCTTGAATGGAAGGCTTCCTTTCAAGCCCATGTGGAATTGAGCCAGTAGCGTCTTGGAGCCAACGTTATGCTGCGTGATGCCGTCCGGATTGCAGAGAGTGCTTTGGTCAATAATTAGTTCGAGCACGTTTACGAAGCTCAGGAAAGCGCTAAGGATGACATGTACCGATAGATTAATCGAAGATGCATACTCCTTATCTCTCCTAGTCGTCATGGAGCGGCTGTGGAGGAGTATGAAAAGTGTGAGATAAATGGTGTACCAGTATTCTCGGCGTTTGGTCTCCATCAAGAATCTCAGCTGGTGGAGAACTTTATTGCTTTGAGGCCTGAGAAACTTCGAGTAATAAATGCATTCAAGTTGAGCCATCAGAACAGGAGATGCAAGGACGCAGCCATGATACGGACTGTCTGGATCATCGACGGCCTGTGTGTCCAGTGTATCCTCACCGACAATATGTTCAGAATTGGAATGGATACGACAGAGCACCCATAGCCAAAACGCATTAGCGAGAAGGGCATTGGGGCTGCATATCGCAACCACAATCGAGCCCTGTCTTGGTATCCTCTGCACCGACGTCCTTCAAGTCGACGATGGCCTCATCAATTGCTGCCACAAGACCAGTGGCCTAGAGGCCTCAGTTCGCGGCCACAGCTCCAGCAGGTCAAGCGCCTTTTTACGCCATGCACTGCTACGACAGCTCGAGGTCACAAGCAAGAACTCGATGCCCGAGGCTTGATCTCATCCAGAGCTTTTGATCTCGCCATTGTCTCAACACATTAACTTCTGCGACAAGTCTATAATTTGTTAAAAATGCGCTAGGAGGGCCTCCATGGCGAAATTGATTCACAATGATCAGAAACATCAAGATATAGCTGAATGTGCGCGAAAGCACGCCTTATCTTCAGAATAATCAAGGAGTTAGCATCCTCATAAAGTGTACCGAAACAGAGGAGACCGGTCACCAAGCTCGTTCAGTTCTTCCTCCGTATATCTATTCCGAATCTCTTGTTCTGTCATTGCCTCTCTCTTGGCATTGATCGCCTTGTAGATCAACTCAAGCGCAATGCAGGCTCCTACACCAGCCGCAGCAAAGCCAAGGGAGGCCCCAAAGCCCGTGGGATACCGCGGGCTCTCATTATCCATGAATATGTAGCTTCCGACAATGCCGCCAGTGTTACCAAGGCATATCATATAAGCAATTCCCATAGCTCGCTTTGTAGAGCCACCGAGATTGTTTACCGTCCAAGCGTTGCCTCCTGGGTTAATTGGATATAGACCGATGCAAGCGAGGATGACGGCAAAAAAGCAAACAGGGATATTTTCCTTAATCTTTGATGCCAGCGCAAATAAGATGCCATAGGCACAGACAACTAGGAGCTGAGGCACGACAATAAATGGCATCCTCCAGGTGAACTTGTCTGCAAGAATGGCAGAGAGGTACGCACTAATCGCGCCAGCAAAATAGGCCGGGATCGTGAGAAGTTGTGCGTTGGAGGAGCTGTAGCCCATATTCTTGATAATTTTTGGCATAGTAAACTTGAGTGCATTGTTGGGGACCGTGTTGGACCAGTAAATGAGGGCTTGAAGATAGATTTGCCAGTCGAGGATCACTGAGCGCAACACTTTCCAGTCTACGCCTTTTTTGTGCGTCTCGATGGCCTTGTTCCCATTTTGTGCGATCTGCCGGAGCTCGAGGAATCTGATTTCGTCGGCATCAAGCCACTTGGTCGATGAGGCCGGAGAGTCGATGAGACAAAAAAAGGTGACGAAGCCGGCAAGCACAGTTGCAATGCCTTCAAGTATGAAAATCCATCGCCAGCCTTCGTAATTGCCAACTCCGTTCATCTTGGCAATCCCAAAGGCGAGGACGCCCGAGAATGCACCCGCAAGAGCACTAGCTGTGTAGAAGAGGGCGATTCTGGTTTGTGTCTCGTTTCGCACATACCACTTGGAGATGATGAGAACAGCTCCGGGGAAAAAGCCTGCCTCGGCGATACCAAGCCTAGATGGAAGAGATTGTTAGTTTTGCCGGACAAGCAGAGGCTAGAGCTTAGGCGAAACGTACAAAAATCGAACTGCTACCAGGGCACCAAAATTCTTCACCAATCCCAGCATTGTCGTCATGATCCCCCATGCAACAATTATGCTTCCAATGTATCGTGATGGTCTTTTGAACTTATTGAGAAGATAATTACTTGGTACCTCTAAAGACTGTGGGTTAGAGTCAACGGATTAAGCAGATGTGTGCATGATTAAGCATACCTAGTAGAACATAAGGTACAAAGAAGATGGACAGTGCAATGTTGAACTGCGTGCTACTGAGATTAAGCGTCTCGGAAAGGCCTTCAATGTTGGCATTTCCTAAGTACGACAGTTAGAAACGGAACTAATATTCCTCACACATTACACGTACCAATGTTTGCCCGATCAATGAAGGAGAAAAGATAAAGCAGAGTTAGAAGAGGTATAAGCCGATAGTCGACCTGCAAGTGGAAATACAAAGTCAGCAATGTATAATAATGATTCGCCGAATTCTAAATGACAGATGGTAAAGACTCACTTTTCGGACGACCGCAAGCTTGCGTGCCTCAGGGAACTGAGCGAGCCATTGTGCATCTTCTGGGGATAGGTTTGCGAAAGATGGCACATTCTCAGCTTCGTCAATGATGCTCCCTTTCTCGTCCGCGTGGTTGTCCGCTTTTTGACAGTTTTCAGACATTGTAGCAGCCAGTGGGATTGAGATTTGTTTATCCAATGTACTTGTAGGTATTTAATGATTTGTAGGCAAGGATGAGAGAGGATGAGAAGAACCTGGGAGAAAAATACCATTTGCGAACAGCGATGTGAGGGGAGTTTATATCTCAAACATTTTACCGGCAGCCAGATGCTCGGTAATCTCTTGATTCAATCATGGCCTTGCAGTTCGCTGAAGGTGTGGTTCTGGGGAAGACGTGGGGATGCGGGGAGGATCTGGAGAGTGGGACCTCGCACATAATTCACGGACATGTCCGTTAGTTATCTCCATGTAGGCGACTCTTATACTTTGAAATATACTGGACGGTATTGGACAATTCAACCAAGCTTCACCACAAGAAGATCCCCTGGGCCCCACACCGAATCTCGGAGTGTCCCTTTCGACGGATTTGAAGACGTGCATAATGACTGCTTTTAGCCTACATTAGATCCAATAGATCGGAACTATCCCATTCCACTGTTCCCCAGTTAATACTACCTAAGTCAAATGGCTCATTGAGGAAGGACACCATGGCCGCATCCCACACCTCGGCTTGGTGGCCCAGGATTTCACTATCCTGTGCCATATCCTCGGACTGCGTAAATGGACCAGCTGGACCCATCATCCTGGGCCACGCTCCCTCATCATTCGAGGAGGTAGCTCCAGGCCGCACTGAGTCAGTCACGCGATTCGCCAGTGCTTTGAATACACTGACGTGCCTTTCAACCGTCGGCCATCTCTCTGCAATGTGAGACAGTGTGTCTAGAATGCAGGCAACGCTCTGTTCAAAGTCTTCGTACTTTTTAACCCAGGTAGATTCGATCGCCCTATCTCTGGGTGGTAACAAGTCCCTTGAGAGCAGCGCACAGAATAGCATAGTAAAACCAGCGGACATCATATCGTGAACACATGTCCAGTTTAGTACCAGTTTGTCGCTCGTTCTGAGATCCATGTAGAGTGATGCCACCTTTGATGAAGCCTCTTGGCAGGCATGAAGCGAGTCTCGGTAAAAAGGGGCATCGTTTTCTTTGCCAAGTAATATGAATGGACGAAAGCACTTCAGCCGCTCGCGATAGAAGTTGAGATCGCGCCAATGCGTCGTCTCATACACGCTTCTGGGGCTGACAAGCATAGGGAAAGACACTCTCCAATTGGACAAGTCCTCTAGGATTGGTTCTACAGAAGCCTGCAAGGCACCGTAGGTATGATTTGCCGGTTTTCGGTAGAGTGTTTTACCTATTGTCGAGGTGATTTGTCTAAGACGAATCTGACGAAGCTGAGCAGAGACTTCGGACATGCCCCGAAGGACTTGGCTATCGATGTTCGTGCTCTCGATGAGGTCATCATCTGCGTCAATAGGAAGCTGCATAATACATGTTAGTTTCACTGGACAGGCCAGCAATGCAGGACAGCAGAAGCCTACCTCAACATCGATATCTTCATCTTGCAGTCCTACTGGCCGCCCAAGAACAGAGCTGCTATGGCGGTCATTGATATAGCACGACCAGAAAACCCTTCTTTGCATTTGTGATTCCATCGGTCTCATAGATAGGGGCGATTTCCGATGGTAACCCTTCTCAATGCATATCCTCATCGCCACTTGTGCTAAATCCCACTTATTACCAACTAAACCTCATATTAGCCCAAGCCCGTCTCTCAGGGTGGGGGGAATCAGTTAATGTAGTGCACCATACTTCCAATGTCATGCTGCAGTGAAAAGAGAAGCACCAACAGAAGGGCCTGTACATGCTCCAAGCTGTTCATGCCTAAACTTCCCTCAGCATGCTGCATCGCAGTAACATAGTAGCCCATTGCCTGAGTATCGTGAAGTCCAGCCCGTACGAGCGACACTGCACCGATGGCCAGAACCATAAAGACCCTGAATACTACCGGCGCCGGACTCGATTCATGTCGATCGTATATTTGATCCAATTCCCTGTATAAAGAATCCCGGTGGAGAAAAGGGTGTAAATTGTGTGGGCCATGTAAACTGCTCACTCCCGTCAGAGGAAATATCGAAAACGATTAATATCTATTAGTTCAAGGGAGCGTTACTATGAAGCGAGAAGATCCTGGGCGATCTGCTTTGGAGGCAGTGTAGCTGGCGACGTTTCGGGAAAGTGGCTGGTTTTGGCTGTTTGTTCCGCACGCAACACCTCGCTTGCAATTGTAGGGCCTGATGAACGCGGCGGGATTGCAGCTTCCACCAGTTGACCCATGCTATGAAGATGATTAGCAGCGATTATGTTTCAAACTTGGCACGACCAAACCTGCCCGATTACACTACCCTCTCCATGATATGTGGAATGGGTGGTTGGGCTCATAGAGGAAGGTGCAGCAGGAGCTGATTGTATGCCTTCTGGTGAGCTCTGTGCTGCTGCAATGACCGTATTGAGACTATCAATACGTTCTTGAAGTTCCTCAATGTAGCTATGATTGAAGATTAACCACTGTCGGACTTCCTTCATGTGGTGCAAGAGGGAACTTGCCCTCGCGCATATTCTCTTCGAGACCTGGTATCAATCTGAATACACTCTTGCCCGACCCGTTGACAAGCTTTACAGGTTTTGGAATGTTGATCACATTTTAGTTTTCTTGATTTGCAGCGTTTGCAAGCTGTAAGTATGACTCCTGCCATATTATGAATGCCATGCAACTTTGGACATTGCGTTTGAGTGGTTGAGATAGATTGAGAAGGATGGCTGAAAGCTCCACTGGCGACGCCGTCTTGAATAATGAATTGGAAAGCCGAGAGGCATGTTTATGTACCTAATAATGATTGATCTTGGTGGGGGTATTCAGTTATCCGTTATGTCTTTACAGGGTACCTAGTAAGCCCCGCAAAATTTCAGTCACAAATTATTATTAGACTTGGGGCAATTGGTCGTCATGATCCAAGAAGGTATCCCTTGCTCCAATTCAGAAACCTGACCGGTGTAATTGATGTCCATTTGAGATTGATATCATCAGTCTAGAGCCTTTTTTCTATAGTTTAAGGCTCCATCTTCACCCAAAGCGTCTGGTGGTTCTCATGATCTGCAGATAATGCAACGCATCGCTTGCCAACGCTGCAGGCAGCGTAAAGTGAAAGTAAGCTCTGGCTCTTCCCCTTAAACTCTTGATTTAATTAATAACTTATATTTATCATGTAAATAGTGTGACCTCAATGCTCCTACATGCGGGAATTGCGCTCGAAGCCGAGTCCATTGCCTGAGCTCAGACGTCTCATCAGCTCGCGCGGCCAGCTCGCTTCCTGCTGGGTCTGTGTATCAATCGCTCTTCTTTATCGTAAATTGAAACTCACACAGTGCGGACAGATATATAGAAGGTCTCGAAGCCCAAGTTGCGCAACTAGAGGAGATGGCATTACGAACGCCGGGGAATGTTGCACGGTCGCTACCAGCCTCCGACTTAGCTTCCCCCAACTCTTCAAATATACTTAATATCCGCTCAATAGACGGCATTGATAGGCCTCAAGGGGTCCTAGATTGGAGCACTATTGGAGAAACAGGGGCAGGAACGCTGCACCCACGACTTGGCTACGGTATCAATCGTTTGATCCAGTCTGCTCTGGCCATCAACAACAACGCACCTTACAAATCCACAGACGGCGACAACTTTCTCTCTCTTGTAAGCCAGGAATCTAATGAAAATGTTCACAAGTCTCTGTTGTCGAGTTATCTTGAGGCATACTTCACCCATATTCATATTGCTCTGCCATTTCTGGATGAAGCATCTACGAGGCAAGATTTCGCCCATCTTCAACTTGATCCAAGCAAAATTCTCCAGAATCCCAATGTGCTCATGATGCTTGCAATTGGCTCAACTATCTTGTCAAAGTATAATCAAGTTGCCACATACCACCGCATTCAGCTCTTTGCCTTAGCTATCAAGAGCTGCGAGCACATGTGCGCATCACACAGCCTGCAAACATTACAATTTCTACTTCTTTCTACCTTATTGTCCCTTTTAAGTCCATCAGGCAGTACCTGGCACTTGATTGGCCTTGCCTCGCAAGCCGCAGTGACTTTAGGGCTTCACCAGAAAAGAGCTACGATTTCCGGTATGCCCACTTCTGTTGTGGAAGAAGTTTCCTTTTGGGCGTGTTACATTTTGGACAGGTAAGTGATACTTCCAAAGTTGGAGTCGATACCCAAACTGACGATGTTTATAGAGTAATATCGTTGGCTCTAGGACGTCCTTTTGCTATTGATGACTACGATATTAGTCTTGAGGTACACGTGAACAATTGAAGCCGCGTTAATCAAAAAGATTCTTACTGTACTTCTAGCTACCGAAAAATTCGGGTTCTACCGAACGTATATATTCTCTTATTTCAATCGCTAGGGTTTCAGCGTTAAGGGAAACACCCGCTGCAGACCGGATACAGACCACTGCCGAGTTTCACAGGCACATCATTGAAATCTTCAATAACATAGAACCGCAATCTACAGATCTCTTCGCGCAATTCATCACGCAACTTTCAATCTGGCGGGTTGATTTACCGTCACCTATGAGCTTCGTTGATACAGACCGAGATTCGGCGAAGGAGCCTACAGATATTCTACGGCACTGTCTTTGTCAAGGCGAGGCCCTGAACAACAGCCCCATGCCGGTGTGTTGGACATCAAGCTATGCATTTTTCTACGCATTCATCCTCCAATGGAATTATACCAAAATTCTCGAACCTTGCGAGGAAGCGCGCCTTGAAAATACCAATGCCCCTCCGAGACCTTCTGTCTTAACAACAGCAATGATTCTCGAGTCCTGCTCTAGGACGTTTCCGGGGCTCGTCGGAGTCGGGCGCCTGTTTCGACATCTAGTCGAGCCTCAACAAGAACATGTCAGTACCGTTCCTGTCAAATGGATGCCACCCACTACACAAATGTCTCGTAACTGATTATGGATTTAAGGTGGATCTAAGTCTAGAAGTTGTCCCGAACAGAACCATTCGACGAGTTTTCAGGGAGGCCATGAGTCTCAAACAATAGAAGGGTGTTTGAAGATTCAAGGTTTGTTGTTACCGGCTACCTATCTCTTAAGGTGCAAAAATACTCTTCTTGTAATGCCCATCGCTTGGTTAGAGGAGAACGTAGTTGTTTTTACACCTCCGCAACAGAGGTATTATACCTATGAATAGAGGTGTCAGAAAATGATTATGAACACTTTGGCAAACACCATTGAGCCTCCTCAAATGCCTCGATTCCCAAGGGAACCTAACCTTCAGCAGTACCGCGGTATGTTGCCGTGACATCTGCATCTCCTGAAGGTGTTATGGAGGTCGCGGCCCCACACCGAGATCTACATTTTTACGTTTCGGACACCTCCGGAGAGGTGCATTACTGAATCGGAAGCCCCGATAGATCGTCCGCCATGTGAAATAAGACGCAGTAGGAAGCAGCCAGGTTGATTTATTTAATGGCTCTAAAATCTTACAGCGTCAGTGGAAAACCAAGACAACATCCATAACAACTGAACAAACCAACAATCACAAAGACACCCAACTACCAAGCACAGCAACATGGCTCCGAGCGCTACTGCAGGCATTCACACTGCTGCTGACATTGCTAATGGCGCTTCTTTGGATGATAAGTCCACCATCTTCAATAAGAAAGGTACGGATCTGAAATCCATGGCAGTTGGTGCACAAACAAAGGATGGTCGAAGTTCAGTGCCCACCATCCCAGTCTTCCGCACCAAGGAAGAGGAGCAGCGATACTGCAAGGAGCACCTCGCCTGTGCCTTTAGAGTATTCGCTGACCGGGGCTATGATGAGGGTGTGGCTGGCCACATGTCTCTCCGTGACCCAATTCGTGCGGACCACTTTTGGATCAACCCCTATGCGATGCATTTTGCGGATATCAAAGTATCTGACCTCGTCCTTGTGAATGAGGGCGCAGAGATTGTCTCTGGAGATCATGCCGTCAATGCAGCTGGCTTCGCCATCCACTCGGAAATTCACAAGGCTCACCCTTGGGTCAACGCCGTTTGTCACGCCCACACGGTGCACGGCAAAGCGTACTCTGTATTCGGAAAGAAGCTCCCTCCAGTGATGCAGGACTCCCTGCGATTTTATGGCTCTCACAGTGTGAATATCGACTACGGCGGCGTGGTGCTCTCCTCGGAGGAAGGAAAAAACATTGCCGCCACCCTCAATCCCCAGGACAAGGTGTGCATTTTGCAAAACCATGGCCTTCTCTCTGTCGGCGAGACGATTGACGAGGCAGCCTACTGGTTTATCTGCTTTGACAAGTGCTGCCAGAGCCAGCTCATGATTGACGCAGTTGTCAGGGCCCAGGGTGATGCATGCCAACCCAAGGAGGTTGATCATGAGACGGCCTTCTTTACCGAGCAGCGTATTGGTACCAGGCACAGGGGGTGGCTCAACTTCCAACCTTACCATACCAATATGTTAAAGAAGACCAAGGGAGAATTTTTACTCTAGTTTTTCATTGGCTTCCCGCACATCTCCGGTGATTTATCTTCTGCCTCCTCCACGATACGACGAATGATGCAGAGCGCAAGGGTACGACGAGAGATATCAATAAGAAGCTAGGAAGAATAAACTATGTGAAGAACTTGAAAATGAGCATAGAAAATTTGACAAGAAACAATGGCCGTCGTAGCTAATCAAGTCCGTTTGGGAAGTGCCTCAACTTATCGGCCGCGTCAATTCCTCACAACGACGGCTTCTTTGACAAAGAGCCCTTCAACTGCAACCTTGACTAGGAATCTCGACACACTAGTAATATGAACGCTGTCGGATACTGTCATCCCGTCGCCCGCACTTCCCAGTGTTTCCACGTCCTTGGCCTTGTCATTGGGCGATTTCGGGTCATTGAATTCCAGTCTAACAGCCCGCACCAGTGTCCAATCCATTTTCGTCTTCCGGATCTCCGCATCCACGAGATTGTGATCCTCGAGGGCGTATTTGATATTGGTCCACCCCATGAATGCCCTACTTATCCACGGCAGTTTTGCCCATGAACTCCCGACGCCTGCTGTCGACATGACTACCACGCGAGAAATGCCGGCCTGTTCCAGAACCTCGCAAACATTGGCACATGAGTCGGCCAAAAAGCGAGGAGGTGATAATTGAGCTGCGAACGGAGAGTCCGACTTGCGGACTGTGTTGAGTGTGATGATGGCCGCATCAGGTGATAGGCCAGGCGCCGCAGTGAGAGTTTTCCGGATGTCGTCCTTTGAGAGTGGCGAGCCAATGACGATGGTTAAATTGGGATCGGTAGGAAGGCTGCTAGAGTTGCGCACGAGGGCGACAGCTGTGTGACCTTGAGAAAGCAAGTCGGATATAACACATTTGCCGGTGCGCCCAGTGGCTCCAAGGAGGAGGAAATGCATGGTGAGAGGATATCTTTTGGAGCAAAAGAAAGTTATCGTTAATTTGATTGAGTTGTTGAATCTTATTATAAAATGAAGAGGATTTGTTTTAGCAGTTTTTGAAGAGTCTTTGGGTTGAAGACTTGTTTATATATTTGATGGACCTGATCAAGGCATGTATGTGGGCGTGGCTGTTAATGGAGCAGCCGCTGATTGGCCCGTTCGCTCAACATACTACGATTGGGGATGGCACGCAGTCTGACGCGCCCCGAAGCGGGCTTTACTACTGGTGAAAATTTCGGGAAGTAATAATCGCCGTGCTTTGATTTGTAAGATGGCCTAGTGCCGATTGAGTTTGAAAGAATAAGATTGGGTATTTAGCAATGAAAATAATTCGACTAATTGATTACACTCGTAATTGCTCTCGACTCTGTTCCCTCATCCCGCTGTTGATTTATAAAGCCTCACTTTTTCGGTAATATCATCAGCGACCTCTTGTAATCCACTGTTTTCAGTTTGCAGTTTGGCATAAAGCTCTGGTGATGGTGACTCCAATGCTCCCAAGAGTACGATTCTCAATATCAAATAGAAAAAGCGCAGGAAAGAGACTGAAAGAGACTCGGGACCCGATGAGTTCATCTGAACGAGTTCAAGATCACGAAGCCAGGAGTCTAAGGAGTCTAGGAGACTCGCTTTTTCAGATACAAGTCGAAGAGCGGCTCCTACCGATTCAATTTGCGACACTTTGGCCAGAAAGTTGAGGGTTGATGTAGCAATATGTACCAGCTTTGTACGCATATTGGGCGCGATTCTGCGATGATCTCGACACTCGATAGACTGTTGAGGCGACGATGTCGAGCACCCGGTCGGCAGCACCGCTTTCCCGTCGGCAGCTTCTGCAGCTTCCGCGAACTTACATGGTGCAGCAAAAAGCTTGACGATGAAAACATCCAGGAAAGGTAATTGGCTACGGTGCGCTGGCAATAGTTCATTCGTGATGGTAAAACTGGGCCTGGCTCGGAACTCCCGCATGATGCCAAGCCCTCGAACAATGTGTAGTGCCATGGCAGCGAAATTGCCCCGTACTTGCTCAATACTGATGAACACTTGACAGCAAAGTAATGCTGTCTTCAACTCGCTCGAGCTTGAGGATGACAGTTTGGATGCAAGACCAGTCAACGCCACACTATATTGCTGGAGGCCATAATCGCAGCTGGGGGTTCTCCGTCCGACAGAAGCTGGATTGTTGTCTCCGGACGATTCAAGCTCTTCCCGAAGAGCCTTGAGAGACATGACTGCGTGACGTATTGGTGTATCAGTCAGGCTAGCTTGAAGAACTTGCTTTGCTTCTTCATTACAGTCCAAGGGCACATTGAATATGGTTTTCGTTGAGAAATAGCGGCAGAGAAGGTTGATGGCCTCGGGGCTCAGCGCAATTGGGGTAGAACGGATGGTTTGTAAACCAGCGCGCAACTTGATGTTACGAGCACAGACATTGTTGGAGAGTTGATTGTTGTGAACATGAAGTCTAAACGGGGACTCGTAACCATCACAATTGCGGCCTGTACTGGTACATTTTTGGCAAGATGGCTTCTTCTCGTCGCATTTGACCTTCCTTATTCTATCCGTGATTGAGTATAACGAAGTCACACATAGGCCCCAAATTGGGTGCAGGCCAACAACAATGGAGAATTGTGGGGGGTAACTGACCTGCAGGTTACGCAACCAGTTTTCACCTTGGTCCTGCCCTTGATGCTCCGACCGGGTGCGACAAGGGTTCCGGCCATAGTCAGGGGAGTCAGGGGAGGGAGAGGGACGTTTGCACTTGTCGCGTAACGGGCTCGAGACGCGAGGAGAGCCGTTGCAAGCAAGAAATCCGAGCAAGCGAATCAAGCCATGCAGCTAAATTCATCGCCGGAACCCGACCGGAAACGCGAAGAAGCGACACGACGTCACGTGTAGTGCTTGATTCAGGCTTGATTAGGCAGCAAAATAGATCCACCGCCATCTTCATTCGTCGTAAATTCCGATCAGGCCAATCAGACGAGGCTATTTTGCTGGCCATGAGCCACGCACGAGCCAGAAGCACGAACCGAATCTGGCCACATGTTTGTCAGCAAGAAGGCTGGCATTGGAGCTAGCCCGATTGGGCAGAGAGAGCGAATGCGCCAATCACATGTGCCGCTGTAGTTATGCCAGGACAGATGACTTTCGAATGACGATTGATCCCTTTGAGCTTATATAAATAGTGAGTCGCTGTCCTCTCCTATCAGGGTAAATAAGAGTTCAGATTCAATGTCGAGACTCCCATATCAACTCAAATCCGTGTCTAGATCACTTCACACGTCAAAAATGCCAGCTTTCACTCTGTACGGGGCTCGAGGGTCCACCAACACCGACCGTGTGCGCCTAACTCTGGCCGAAGGTGGTTTTACGGATTACGAACTGGTGCTTCTTAATCTGGCAAAAGGAGAGCAAAAGGTTCGTTAACAGTTTTTCTACTCGGGAGTGAATGAAGTTATAAAACCTGCAGAAGGATTCTTGTCCTTTAAATATGACTCTTTGCGACGTTGACGCACATGGAACCAACACTGACGAACATAGTCCCCCGAAAACATGAAACGCCACCCATGGGGTAAAATACCTGCCATCACTTTCCCCGATGGATTTACTGTCTATGAGAGCCGTGCCATCTGCAAATACCTGGCGAGAAAGTACTCCTTTCCACTTCTTCCTCCAGCCTCCGACGCTGAGGGCATGGCGTTGTTCGACCAGGCCGAGTCAGAAGAAATGATTTACTTCGCGGAGCCTGCTGGCCGCATCGGGTTTGAGAAATTTGCCAAGAAATTCATGGGACTGCCCCCCAATGAGGCTGTTGTCGCGGATGCTCTGAAGTCGGTCGAGTCGTTTTTGGATGTTGCAGAGCGCCTCTTACAGGACAAAAACTACATGGCTGGAAATGAATTCACGCTCACGGACATCAACTATATCCCTCTCATCCAAAGGCTATTCGCATGTGGGTATGGGGATATTATCAACAGCCGTACCGCCGTGAGTGCGTGGTGGGCCCGCGTTATCAACCGACCAGCCATCGAGAAGCTGTTGGCTGCGGACAAGGCGGCGGCAGCAGCAGCCTTTGGTGCTAGTAAAAAGGATTAAAAGGGACGAGGGCATTAATCTGATGGACCGGGCTGGCTGACATGGAAGGCCAGTCAGCCTTGGTAGTTTTAGCCCCTGGCTGCATCTACAGCTTGATTGGTAATGGCGTTTTCGTTGACAAGACGGGCTGGGGTTAAAGAAAGAATATAATTTTTGAACGAGAATAAAAGTGTTAGTCTACACGGTCTCCAAAACCTTTTCCCGCATTACCTTATGGTTACAGTATTATGAGTAGGCGGAATAAATTATTCTGGACAGGATACGATGTCTCTCCGTAGCTCTCGCTCAGTCGCTCAGGCTTAGTTCTTCTCCTTCTTGAGTGTTTTGTAGTTAGGAGCATCCCACAGACTAAGACATGATAATACATAGAGATTGATAACTATTCTGTGGAGTTTGACTGAATTACAAAGTTGCCGCAGGTAAGATAATTTACTCGTAGTAAACCTGAGGGCTTTAAACTCGGTCATCACCATGATGTAATTGCCCCTGGTGACAATGGAAGTCTAGTACCGCAAACGGATGATATGGACATGAAGAGATTTTTAACCACCGATTTTTAGTCGAAATGAGTAGTCATCCAAAAATGAGTTGAAAATAAAAGCTTTCTATCTCAGGCTAAAGATATCGTAAACATGGATTGAATTTTAGACCACGGGCGACATACTTGAGAAACCTAGACGGCTTTAGAACAATGGAATTAGATTTAATTAATCTTGCACTCTCTTTGAGAAGTCGATGAACAGATCTGGAGGCGTAGCCCCAAAGGTCTCCTTCCATTCTAGGTCCAACCTCGTGCCATCCTCCCCAGGAGTGAACTTGAATTCGAGTTTCTGTAGAATCAGAGAAAGAGCCAGTCGAAGGGAAATGTAGGTGAGGTTTTTCCCGGGGCATGATCATGCACCTATGCATCAGTCAGTATCATATAGTATGAAGAAAAAGGGAGACTCTGGAGATTAGCAAGGGATAGTTCTTACCAAGCTGGAAAGGGAAGAAAGGGGCATCACTAATACCAAGCTCCTTCTGTCTTTCGCTAAATATCGTTGGAATGAACTCCTTTGACTGTTTCCAGTACCTTGAATCTGTGTGGAGGAGCTGAATTGGCACAATAACATTAACATCTCCCGGGATGAATCTCTCATCTACCTGAAGGCCGTTTGGTGGAGTAACACGGGAGCCACCGACGAGTACGGGCGGCTTTAGCTTGAAGGTTCATTAATAATGTGATCAATGTACGTAATTTTCTTCACCTTTTCGTACGTCCAGTCTTCAGAACCAGGCAGAGCGGAGTCGACTTGAGTCAACGCCTTGTGCAGAATCGCAAGGTTCTTGATGAGGTAGAATAGTGTCGTGGTCAAGGTCGTTGCGGTTGTCCCACTCCCTCCCACTATCATGACTCGAGAATCCTCGTTGAATGCCTCTTTAGAAGGTGGAGTAGATGGGTCTTTCTCCATGAATGCCTTCAGAAGCCAAGACATGATATCACTTGGAGCTTGATCAGGTTGCCAACGCTGTTCAGCCCGATTAGGCTAGAGATACTCAAGAGTCATCCAGGAAACTCACGTCAAGCTTCTTCTCAATCGTGTCGGAGCACATCTTGAAGAACTCGGTATAGCCTGCTGTGGCGCCTGGGATGCGGGAGAGATAATACAAGAGCCAGGGGATCTGACCAATGGTGTTGATGGTCTCCATACTTTCATCCATTCCACCGATGGCGGGATGTTCTCTTCCTTCAATCAGGCAATCGAAGTCCTTACCGAAGGCTACCTTGCCCATGATATCGAAGGCAAGGAACATGTACCAGTCAGTTCCGTTCACAGGCCTCCTTGTGATACGCGGTCCACGAAAATCTCAACCAGCTCGCAGATGCGGAGCTCGTATGATGGAAGCACTTTTTGGTTTGAGTTTAGTAGGTGTTCCTGGCCTTGGCATCATTCCAAGGCAAAGAAGAACCAAGGCAAAGAAGAATAAAAAAACCGGCGGAGAACCTTTGATGCTGATCCTGCGTGCCTTAACTTTGCGTAATGATTTTCGTGATTTGCCTCCTTAATCTCATCCATACTTGGTTCTCGTCTCTAAATAAAACGTCAGCTTCGCGTTGAGCATTCGATCGATGGCTCTACTTAGTATCTAAGAGTTTAGGAGGTATGAGAAGTTGACGCTACTGTGTGTTATCGGATTAATGCCCTCGGTCGTCGCTATTAGCCCACGTATGGGTTCGCGAAACTTGTCCCGCTTATCTAAGGCATATGCTTGGTACTTTTGGAGCTGAACCCGGATATTAACCACACCGGGCGTTGTCTGAGGATTCATCTAAGGTCGCACCCGCTCATTCCAGCTCCGAGCCGTGTAACCGAAAAGCGATCCTTGTCGAGAATCTTATATTGCCCCCCGGCACGGACAAGAGATCAGCGCTAGCCAAGAAAAGAAGGAAAGACGACAGTGCTTTCGGGGTTTTCTGAACGCAATACACGTGTGGTGCGAATTACGAATACAACCTTCGCCATAGGGAGCACACGCGAGAATCTTCAACCAGTTTGTCATTGACAACGATAAACAAACTAGAAACGCAATACGTAATAGAACAGTACCCTGACACACCCTAAAATGGTTTTCGGAAAACAGATCGGACATTGCAATACGCCTTGAGACCTGCTACGGAATGCTCCACCCCCAGCCCACTCTGCTTGTGGCCTGAGAAAGGAGTATTTGGTTCGATTTCTGCATGGGTATTGATCCATACATTGCCAGCTTGTAGCTGGCTGGCGATGCGTGTAGCTTGCTCGTCATCACGAGTCCACACGGATGCGCCCAGGCCGGCATCTGTACCGTTGGCCCTCTGTATCACATCACTCTCCTCGGACCATTTCATGACAGGAATTACAGGAGCTAAGAAGAGTCCAAGTCAGCAACGGTTAACAAAGACCGAAGAATAATGAAGTAGGGACGTAATACGCACCGAATTGCTCCTCCTTCACGATGGCAGAATCTTCAGGGGGGTTGTCAATAATCGTGGCGGGGATATAGAATCCCTTCTTATCAGCAAGCCGCTCTGTGCCACCTGCCACAACTGTGTACCCGGCCTCCTTGATGCCAGAGAGCAGAGTTTCTACTCGCTTGAAGTGGGGTTCAGTTGCGATGGGACCAAGGAAGTCGGTCTCGCCAACTCCGACGCCAAGAGCTCCTGCGTGTTGGACAAGGGCGCCTAGGAACTGGTCGTAGATAAACTCGTGAACATAGATGCGCTTGATGGACATGCAGAGCTGGCCCGAGTTACAGAAGGCAAAGAGACCGATTCTCATTGCGGCGGAAACCGGGTCGGCATCGGCGCAGACAATGGCAGGGTCGTTGCCACCCAGCTCAAGAACGACACGCTTCAGTGTTCCGCTGCAGCTCTTCATGATGGCTTTGCCCGTCAGGATAGAGCCTGGATAAGTGATTTTCGTTTAGCATTGCGGCTCACAAAACAGAAAATCCTGACCTCGCTCGTACCTGTGAAGCTGACCATGTTGACGTCAGGGTGAGACGTCAGCATGGGACCAAGGCTATCATCGCCACTCAAAGCCTGGAAGACTCCTGGAGGGAAGAACTTCTGCGCCAATTCGGCCATCTTGAGACTGGTATAAGGAGTGAAGGGCGAAGCCTTTAAGATGAAGGCATTTCCAGTTAGTAGCGCAGGTCCAATCTTGGCACTGGCCAAATAGATGGGGTAATTCCAAGGCACGATGCCGACCGCAATGCCAACAGGCACATAGTGTGTGGTGATTTTTCGCTCTGCGCTGTCCTCGATGGTCTCTTCCGGGAGTGGCGATAACGTGGCATAACCCTTCAGGAACTTCAGAGCCGTTCCAATCTCATTTCTGGCCCATAGGAGCTATTGAACAAACCAAGAAAAATGTCCAAATCAGCTGTCAAGTCCCCCGAAGGATTCCAAACCGGGTTCTTACAGGCTTTCCATGCTCCCAGACCAACGCCTTTGAAAATTCCTCTGAAAGGGACTCAAATTCTGCAGTAAAATCCTCAAGAGCTTTCTTTCGCTCCGACCAAGGCACCGCGGCCCATTGCTTTGATGCTTTCTGTGCCGCTTGAATAGCCCTGTCGACATCAACCTGCGAGCTTAGGGGAACTTCGGGGTTAGTCTCCAGACTTGAAAGGTTGGTGGTCGTCCTCTTCTCGGTCGTGTTTTCAAGCTTGCCATCAATAACATTGTGGAAGGTAGTGAAGTCAAGTGTGGACGCCATGGTGTCTTGCAGAGAAGAATTTGTTTTGGGGAGAGTCAAACAGGTAGAGAATGAAAAACTCGGGAAAATCAGCCCAGGGATTTTTGGAACTACAGTCAGATCTAGAATAGGGTGAGGGCCGTTCTAAGTACCGGTGGTAAAATTGAACTGCAACTAGGAATCTTTTTTTGAGTGAGATCGCCGACCGAGCATACAAGACAGAGTAACGCATTATTGGCTCTAGTCGACCAACAACAATAAACAATAAACTTCTGCATAGGTAAGCAAGAGGAGTAACTGCCATGAGATTCCTGAAGCAGTTAGCATTTCGCTGCCAGCCACACCGTGCCAAGTTGAGTCGGGGTACTGCTGGTCTCCCTTGAAACCGGCCGACCCGCAAGGACAAAAGACCCCCTGCAACCAACAGATCTTCTAGTTTGGGTAGATCTATGGACGCAACGAGGTTCCACGAGGCGGCATAACTGGCGGTGAACAGGGATCGTGCTGGAGTAGGGACGTGTGGCACCGTTCGGCCATGGATCGCAGGCATGTGGAGAGAAGCTCACACAGGCAGGCGTCTTGTCCTCACTTGCATCAAATGGGTTGTGCGGCGCAACATGGAGCCAAGATTGGCAGGTTCTCAATCGGCCGGGATTTACTCCCATGCCATCCTCCCGTCGGTCAGCTTACTCTCTCCGAGTCATTTGCATGGATCATTGCAGACTGGCGGCGAACGCCTGAGGCATGGTGGAGTAAATGATCCAATCTGGGGTCAAAGAAGACCGCCGCTCCTCAAAAATGAATATACAAGCACGTTTGGGTTATTGATATGCTTATTAATGATTGAAGGATTCTGAGCTTTCAGCTACGTATCATATCAAATAGCTACACGGCGGCGGGGACATTAGAGTACTGGACTCCCCATCTTCCTTTCTTCATCCTCCCTGGATCCTTGGCGACGTTTTTGACGGATCTGGTTGTTTATATGTCTCCTCAACCCTACAAACTTCTATAAGGCACTTGGGGAGGGCGTGGTTCCGATTCTGAAGACTTCTATCAGACGCATAAATCACACAGCCTCCGAGGTCCAGTTGCCATCATGCCGGGGCCCACCCTCCCAACAGCTGAAGAGGTGGCATACATGCAGGAACACGCAGACGATAACATAGGCCCCAATATAATTGCCTGCGCGGCAGTTTGCGCCGTCCTGGCAACTTTCTTTGTTGGCTTCCGTCTCTGGTCGCGAAGAATTGCCAATGGCCACCTCAAGCTAGAGACCAGTGACTGGCTCAATTTAACAGCCTGGGTTCGTCTATACAGCCTTGGACAAAGATTGGAGCCTCTTTGCCCACGTTCGCGCTAACCGAACTTCTTTAGTGTCTCTATATGCCGTATAGCGTGCTGGTTGGGATGATCACGCTATATGGCGCTGGGCGACATGCCGTCTTTGTGACAGATGCCAGATTACTTCAGATTGTAAGTAACACATCTGATTTAGCTGTCGGTTCAAAAGGTCCGAGGAGCGGCTTATTTCGCTGTTCGACACAAACAGTTCCTTAGAGCATGTTTAATACGCCCGTTAATGTGCTAAACTATGTCGTAGATGACCATCGTCGACGAGAATCTCTACGCCGTTATTCTCGCCCTTCTCAAAGCTAGCATTCTTAGTCTTTATAGATCTATCTTTGGAAGCCATACCTGGTTTTACAGACTTACTTGGGTCTTGACGGCAGTAGCAATCGCACTGGCTATTCAGGTTATCCTTTCGAGCAACTTACAATGCATTCCTCTCTCACACACGTGGGACCCTTCACAGCATGGCACTTGTATGAACTATGGAGCTGAGGCATTGGTGGCCTACATCATCAATATTGTCACCGATCTAGTCATTCTAGTCATGCCGCTTCCTGTTGTTCTGAAACTCAAGACATCCAAATCCACGAGGCGAGGTCTATTCGTGGTATTCTGCGCTGGTGGCAGGTAGGTTGGGAGTTGCTGATCGTATTCTCAACAGCGACTAATGGTTTTCAAGTGCTTGTATAGTTAGTATTGTGCAGCTTCGTTACATTACGAATCAGGGCAGTACTGCAGATGCTAGTTGTAAGTACTATCCTACCCATGTGCCCCAACCCATCTTTTCTTCAAGTCTCGCATCGTGCATCGCTAACAATCCCAGGGGACAACATGCCCTCAGTCATCCTTGCCGACGTGGAGATCATGGTTGGATTTCTGGCTACTTCAATCGCAATATACCGACCCCTTTACCAGTTCGTATTTCGGGGTAGCCGCTTGACAAGTTCACAAGGCTATATCCGACAAGACAAATCAACGAACCCATACTCGTACTCCAGCTCCTCAAGGAGGCCCCAGCATACAAAACGAGTCCACACCGACAATAGAAACAATGGAGAGGAAGGCAGCGCGGAATTTTGTCATGGAATCACCGTAACTGATCAGATTGAACTGGCCACGACGTATGAAGAACGTGGTAGTGTGCCACAAGATAAATGGTAGTGCCTGTGATTTTGCTGGCTTTCATAGACAATTTTATGTTTCTCGAAAGATGCTTCTAGATATCACAAGAAAATCAGTTTAATAATAAGGCGGTCAGGTTTACCAATGAATGTTCGGATCCCGAGGATAGCTTTCATATCATGCAGTACGATTTGAAGGCAGCCTGGATTTCTCTATCAACATTTAGCCGGCGAGGCATAGAGGCAAGATATAATAATATATATAGAGAAAATTAAACAAGCCTCCTTCAAGATAACTTCATTTTATCTTTTAATTTAGATCCGAAAGCACGCTTATATAGCACGTGAGCGTGAAAGCTAACTCAATGATAATCCCTACTTTGTCGCTACCCTATGCCATATCTCACCCACGGTGTGATGGTTCTTTCAACATAGCGAGCTTCAATTCGTAGGAAATTATGGCTTGAGAGCAAACACAATTTTTGTGGCTTGTCTTACTACCAGAGTCCCAGAGCAGTACAAGCAGAAACCTCTCCTCTGTTCTTCTGACTGGCAAGGATGAATATTCACGAAGACCCTACATTCGTTATGAGCAACCAAACGCGGCTTGGCGCACACTTTCTTACACTTGGCTGTAACTCTGTTGAAGCGCATTCTACTAGTAACCATTGGGGGAAAACAAAAAGTCTCCCGTCGAGTTTATAATTACCATAAAGGCTAACCTGCAGATACAGAACGTGCTTATCCGTTCAACTGTACTAATACCATTATGTTGCTTTGAGTGGGGGGCATTGATGAGGTTGATAATGTCCATTGGAGTTTGTATGGGAAACAAGAGCTCATGGTGAGCTAGACGCATGTCTTTCACAAAAGGACTAACGATAAGCATGAGCATTATGGGCTCTTTGTTCCTCGAGGCAGAACGCAGAGCATCTGCTTCTGGACTGTAGGTGGAAACGACTCGCAATACATATATACCACACGATCACGCCTTATCCTTGCCTAGCCTCTCGAGATACTGTCCTGCAACACCAACCACGGCACTCTCGAAACTCCCAAAGTCCCTCCCTAACACCTTCTTCGCGGCGTCCGAGTCATAAAACGTCGGGAAGCTGGGCAGGTTCCCTTTCTTGAAAATTCCCTCCTTTACAGCCTTGGGATACGCAACTTTGACGTACGAGAATACCTTGGCGTACTCTATCTTGACGGCCATGCCAAAATCTTGCGGTAACCCTTCCTCCTTTGCTTTCTGAGCATCAAGGAGGGCCACGCGTAGGTATAATTCTCCTAGGTCGTCCACGTGTGCAAACCCGTTGTGCACTGGGAACGGCAGCTTCCCGCCCGTCAAGGCCAGCATCAAGAGGTTGTTGGAGCTGTTCCGCGTCTTCATTGCCTGGGCGTCCCCTGTCATGAGCTCGTTGCGCCCGTAGACGTACCCCGGCACAACATAGGAGCACAACATAGGATACAGAAAAGTGCGGGCTCTTGGCCTTGACAAACTCATCCGTGTTGCGCATCTCGACCACTTTACCCAGCAGGTACGCCTCAAAGACGTTGTTGTAGACGTTGGGCATCGGGGGCAGGACAGCGCGCGTGGTGGCAGACACGAACCTCTGCGGCGGGATGACGCCGAGGTTGGCCACGATGGACGAGGTGAGGACCACGCGCCGGACGCTTGGTGTCTTGAGGGCTGCGCTCAGCACGTTGGCCGACATTTTGATTGTCGGCTCGCACACCTCCGTCCTGGGGTCGGCTGAGGGCGCGGGGACGGGCGACGCACAGTGGATGACATGGGTCACGCCTTGGATCGCCGCGTCCAAGGCGTCGGCGACGGTTAGGTCGGGGATGACGATGGGGACGAGATGGTCCCCCGGCGCAAGTCTCTCAACTGCCGGGTTCGATGACACCGTCTGAGCCTTTTCGGTAGATCGGACCACGTACCGCACCCGATGGCCTTGGGCAAGTACCGCAAGAAGCACGTGGAAGCCTATCAGGCCGGTCGCGCCGGTAATGAGAAATGTCTCAGCCATTTGTGATCAAGGCAGGGGCTTGATAGCCTGCAATGATGGCTGTCTTTCTGAGGCATGAGAATTCCACAAGCAGAGGGGGCGTTGCTTTCAGCTGCTAATCCAAAGTAGCCCCCCTTTATGCCGCAGTCATCTCTCCAATGGCAATAGCCCGAATGACCACATGGTCAAAGGGTGTAATGCGGCAATTTCCCCAGGGTTCTATAGAGCGAAACACTGCCCAAGGTGAGACTCGCATCCTTCTTCTACCTGCAGCGGCAAGAGAAGATCATGCCTTGTGTTATTGACAGTTTATTGACAGGCTGAGATACGAGGCCGATGTCGGGCTCGTGTCACAGCAGCGACAAATCAACACACATCACCTAGTACTTTAGTAGCTATACAATAAATTAATCCGCCTACTTACCTTTGGCCTCATACAAATATACACAATCTTAACAATCGATCCTGGGATCATTAGAACTCTTTACTAGAATAAACTGGAAATAACAAATGAACATGTTTCCTTGCGTCTATCAGATAATGGTAATCTCACGATCGGGAACTTCCTCGAAAAGAGCACGCGCTTGCTCTTCACTACCTGCTGAGAGTGAACAATAGCCACATCGGATGAAATTGTTATCATCAAGTTGGCGTAAAGCCAACCCCCGAATATGCCACCATCGCTCTCTTCGTTCCGGCTCGGTGCTGATTGGTATCACGAATACTTCGCCCACATCCATATCGCCCTTTGTATCAAAGTGTATCAACCAATGGACTTGATGTATCAACTCCCAATCTTGCACGTCAGCGATGATTATACCGGTATCCGGATTCTTCAGCGCCTTGGTCTCCAAAATCGTCTCAGTCTCGGCGCAAACGGGCAAGACTGTCTTGGGGGAAAAGGTCCCCAATCACCAGTTTACCGTTCAGCACAATATTGCATGTTGATCCATGTAGATAACAGGGAGTGTCGATCACCTCACAGAGTAGGCTGGCATTCACTTTCTCCAGATTGAGTGTTGAATACCTGATTGGGGCCTCTAGAGCCAGCCAGCTCCACGATGGCGCCCTGTCTCTGACACGACGAGTGTCATTTGGGGAAGAGTGCCAGAGCAACTCAGCGGGGAAAAAGTTCTTCCACATACCGGCGAGATAGGTCACCTCCTGCACGCCTTGTTGTTCCAGAAGTCCCTTGATTTTGGATGCCACATGCGCCAAGAGGCGACCGCCACCATCTTGTGGTTGCATTTCGCATTGGGTATACTGCTCTACAATAGTCCGCCATTGAGAGTGTATCTGGGCGATCCGATTATTCGACGGCATATACTGAATACCATGAAGTGGTTTGATGTCCGACCCAAAGAGGTCTATCTCGCTCTCACGCCCCGAACCAGTATTAATATGCCTGGCACGAGGATGAACCTCATCGGCGATAGCACCATAGCACTCCCAAAAGACCATTTTACTCCCAAAATGAACCATACGTGGAGTGATAAACCGCGCTTCTAACGCATTCGCACTTCGAGAGAGTGGCTCATCGAGGAAGTTAATTCTTTGCACCTGGGGCTTCGCAGTGAGTGGGATAATTGTTCCATCGTTGGCTGTATAGAATTGGTTGTCGTTGGCTACAACACATTGTGGGTCTCTCTCGACGAAGAGCCCAGAAGCTGGAGAGCTTGAGCCAGCCGCACCAATACCAAGGAAGCTGTTGGCGTAAATGTTGTTCCTCGCATTTTCATGCTCAGCCAAATCGGATCTACTGTCCTGAATAACACAAAGTAGATCTATCCATAGGTATTGAAAACCCATTCGCTGAAGCACCGTGAATGCATCGCGGTATGATGATGGTAAAATCGACAAAGGCTGAGAGGAAAGGAATTGTTCAATAGTGGATTGAATCAGCCGAGTGGTGCTATCGTCGATATCATAACAGTGAACGAATGTAGCGTATCGAGCTCCAGGTTTGACATCGTCTTTTAGGACCAGCCGGAAATTTCCGGCAGCATCAAGTTGCAGAAGGCGTGGTGGAACAAATGCGCCTGCCTGGGCACATTCCTTGTGGCTTCTAAGGCATGTGTCCAGCCAAGCGTCAATGAGCCGGAACGTGGTCTCATCGCCGGTCGATGGGCTGAGATTGATATTGAAATTATCGAGTGGCCCTAAATACGTCATCAGCACAGCTGCCAATACAGACAACCAGGAGATAGCGACACATCACTCACCAATCCATCCATTAAGTGTCGTATGATATGACGTGCTGTGGTTGCGGCTATACAACGAGATGTCGGATGACACCCTATGGGGGGAAAGTCGTATTGTCTGGTGCTTGAATAAGGAGTAAAAACCTAGTGCGGCGATCATTGGGTTATCGTCTGGCAGGTTTTCGAGGGAGTTCAAGCCAACACAGACAGAACAGCCATCGCGAACAGACTGCTCAAAGGACTCCAGAGTAAGGTGATGACTGAACATATAAAGAGGTCGATCGACAGGCACTATAGGAGTCTGCTCTTGAGTTGGAAGGTAGACATTTCCAAAGCCGCTGTCGTGTTTGAATTGTTCAATGGTGCATACTTGCTTCACGTGAGGGACTGAGTGAGGGTTTAGAGTCCACTGAAGAGTGTCACAACAAACTTTGCAAAGCATTTTTCTCATGAATTGAATACCGAGACAAATTTTCCTAGAAAAAAAAATTAATGAAAGTTCGGATATTGGGGAAAATATGGCGAGGTACTCCAGCTGGAAAACTTGGGGAGAGAGAAATTTGGTGGGGGAGTGCAGCGTCCCTCATGAACTTTTCGCAGGTTGGCTCCCAGTCAGTTACTCTGGAAGCCTCAGAATAAACCTGTTGGTCGGCTCAAATGAATCAAATTTGCTCCAAGAGACCAACAACACCAAGCCCTAATGAAGGATGTGGGCTTCCAGCTTCACCATACTTAGCACCAACAGTTTGTTTATATTTAGAAGTGGGCGTATCGTTAGAATTGGGGGCTGTCGCCTTGGCAAGCTATCTTACTTGCTGGTAATACTTGTTGGTAAGCTGCCACTGAGTGAGATGCTTTTTTTTGGACATGACACCACCTACAAACAGCCTTATGCGCTTCACCTGCAAGAAATAAAACATCATTTTACTAATATTATGCAGGAGCTTGCAGAAGCGCTTAGTGCTTTAATGGCTTACCACAAATTTCATGGGTTTTAAGCAAGTAGGACCAACAAGACCAGTTTAGGTTCCATCCAACATATAGAAAGTAGCCCCAGCGTGATCCTGCTCGCTCCCCACTTGGGGCTGCACGTTGGTGATAGCAAGGTCCCCGGCTCAATAGCGCAAGAGAGCTTTAGCATCTGCCCAAAAAGCATGAGGCAACAAGGCGGCCCCTCCTAAGAAAGGCGCCAAACTGCAATAGCCATAAGGTTCTTCGCCAATAAAGGTCTCTCAGAAAGGCTCTCGAAAGTCTGGCAAGAGTGGAGACAATGTAAGTGAAGAACGAATCGCTCCTCCCTAACCCCCTCTTCCACTTGAGCTATCTAACGATTTATTGTTTCAAGACTTGCTTTACGCTTGCTGGATCAAGAGGAGTTTGCGATACCAAATATGGCGTTTGGGTCGATTATATGGATGACTTTCCGGTGAGTAAGAACGGTTATTCGTAATAGACTACAACTAGGCAATACCCATTTCTTAGTGCAACAGCTGATGGAATAAATGCACCCCGATCATATTCGACGAACTGTTCGGCCGGAGTTTCCTTGTCTTGTGAAAACACGGCTAGGCTCTTGTTATTAAGGTCCATTCGATCCTCCATCTTGCTTCAACTTGTCCAATTGTACCCGGCTCCTGATAGACTCGGCTTGTTTCCTGACGTTCGCTGCCGCTATGGATGTCGGTTATTCTTCTGAAACAATATTCCGGTCGGATCCAATCGCCAAGGCTATTATTCTAAACTCGTCTGAACAATGGTATGCACTTGGCTTCCTGTAATGCCGTGCCATATTGGGGTCTTGTTGAGTTGACATCAGGACCTTCTCTAGAAACAATTTATGCAAGATTGGTCGCCGGGGCGTGACGCTTGTTCCAAGGGAGGCGCCCTCGAGTAAGTTTGATTAACAGTGCCAGCCCTTTCAATCGTTTCAATCCCAAGTTGTTTTAGGTTGTCAGGTGGCTCAAATAAAACATGGCACACTTGAACGCTTTTCACGTAAGGTAAGGACCTAATCTTATTAATATCTAATACTAAACACAATAATAAGAAAATAATAAATTATTCTCTGGTGTTTGGCTTAATATTGTTTTTATTGCTAATTTGATTCTTTGATATCGTGTTGAAATTTAATACTAGAGGTTCTAGGTGTGCCATGTTTTATGTCAGTCGCCTGGTTGTGAAGCCACCTGGGGTCATCCACTAGTCGCGCCTGTTCTGTATAACAACTTTAAATATCCATCGAACATCTAACAAATCATTGGTATTTAAAGTTCTTTACGGCTTGTATATTTCCTGTAGCTTGATGTACGGTGGAAAGCTTGATAGATGGTCATCTAGGCAAGTATCTCCATTACCCCAACCTTGCAAAGCTTATTCATCGTAAACGAAAAGAAAGCTCCGCAGTTAACAAAATTTGCTTCCGGGTGAGAGAGTTCGAGTGTAAAGTTAAAAACAGCAATGCAAGATGCCAGACCCGAAATCTCAACACAATGAAACGATATTTGATTACATCTGCTTGTTTTCCCAAAATCAACTAACCATCAGATACAGAGGTGCAACTAGACGAAAGAGGGCAGCCGTCTCGGTGGCAAAAGACTCACTGGGTTCAAGGTTTGCAGAGCCACTTGACTTGCAGCCTTGTGCTAGCATTCATTTTGCGTTTCGCATTCGTTATGCTGACATGTCGGGTCTAACACCTTCCATTGTAGTCTTTTACCGTGTAAGTCAACCTACTCGGTTTCTCCAGCCAGTACATATTTAACCCAGACTTCCTTGCTCCCAGCCTGTAGTTGATGGGAAAGCCGAGCGACTTACTCACCTTTCAAGTCTTGACCCTAAACTCGTGGCCTTTACAGGACTTGGCTCCGTCACGACAATCATTCTTGACCTATTAAACTGTCCGCATTCTACTTACCTATTCATCATCATGCGTCTGGACTTATTCCGCCCTCAGGCCCCGCTTCCAGAGGATAAGATCCTCCAAATCATACGCCTGTGGGTTGAAGATGAATACTGCAACCACGTTATGAACAATTTTTGTATAGACACTTCCTATAAGCCATGCGCCGCCAATGCAATTGGTGAATCGTGCCGGAACTCTTTCCACGATTTCCACCAAGATATTTCGGCCATAGAAGGCTGGACTGCCGAGGCCATGTGCAACAAGACGGTACCCATCTATGTGACTGCTTCAGGCAGCAAAGACATGTTTGGAGCAAATCCCTTCCTTGAATTCGATAGATACGTTTCACAATCGCTCTTCTTCTGGCTTTATAGCCGGTGGTTCCGCCCATACCGCAGAGCCCACCTAGCTCCAGGCATGGAGCCGAACGCCTTGGCCCGGGACATAGTATCGATGCACAAGGCCATCTGCTCCCAGGTCGATTCAATGGCAGGGAGACCCAAACCGAACCATCACTGGATTCCCCTCGACGAGAGGGATGTGTACTGCGATTCCCGCGTCCATGTAATGCAGCCCATCTTTCGAGCACTCGTCATCATATTCCCTTCTCAAAATTGCAGCCTTTTCAATCCTGACTTTGGCGCAATACCCGTCTTCCTAGTCCTTACTGGCGTGACAGAAGGTCTCAGTGAGCCCATTACTTTTGAATCTCTCGGTACCAAAGCTGAGTGCCGGTGGTTTTCCGATACTTTGATCCAGCTACCACTTGAAGACGCGATTATGTTTGTCGAAAAGGTAGGGGCGCGTGAAGTTGCAGCCCACGGCCAACGCCCAGACCTTGCTACCATGGATCGGGAGCTGTACCAATATCATCTCAAGCTCAACGGTTCGGACAAAGTGGCAGACGAAATGGTTCGACTTGGATGGGAGGGCGAGATACGTCTGGAATGCCCCAGTTCGGAATGGGTGTGGAATCCCAAAAAGTATCCTGACTTGGCATGGAAGTACTGGGGTATGTGGCGAGATCAGTTCAAGTTCTATCTACTTTGGGAGCATAGAAAGCACCTCGAAGCACTTGTCAACGACCCAGAATTAGTGTGGCATGAGCTCCGTTAGGTGGAGCATTTCATTCTTGTACCACGGTATATCAACTTCATAACCCGATTATGCACCAAATATTATATCCTTTGACAAATGCCTTATTCAAATACTAGTAGGCTCACTACTCCAAAATTGTTTTCTAGTCATGTACTTAACTTGGAGCAGCCTGATTCTTGTTTCAGAAAGCACCTCACTTCGTCGGGAGTAATGTACAAATCGATTCTTAATACTTTAAACCAGAACAGCTAACTTAATGGAATGTGAACTGCTTGGATCGCAAATTTTCTCTTCCAGGGACGTAGACGACAAACTTGAGAACTCATCTTGTCATGAAGTGATGCTACAATTTGAGACGCCATTTCCATACATGTCCCCAAGCTTAATTTCTCTAGCCCGGGAACGAGCATACTCCTATACCCAGATACAACAGCTGGGAAAACGTGCCCTGGGTGCAAAGTTTGGCAACAGGATTATCATTTGCGGGTTCCGCTGCGAGCTAGTTTGGATGCGTGTACTTAATATTCGTTGGTGTACGAGTGTGAAGCCAGGTGAGAGAGGGTAGGCTTTACAGTCATTCGACGAGCGGCCCGTCCTGACGGCAAGTGAGTCATCGGTATGAAGGTTTATAGACTTTTCTTTCCGCACGACTGCAGCCTTGGGCTAGAAAAAGCTTTTTCTTTTTCTTTTTCTTTTCTTTTTTTTTTTTTTTTTTCCAAATTTAGTATTCATTGAGTTGAGAACTCGAGTCTAGCATCTTCCATTGTTATTTAACTTCATACTCGAACTCTCTTCCGTACTTAATATTCGAATTATTCTCCCCTGCGGTTGCTTGGCTGCCTATTACCGGGAGGGGGGTTGGACATGCGATAGAAATCCGGACTCGTCCAGGTCAACCGGAACTTGTTGATACCCCCATCTGAGACATTGTGCATTCCACCACTGCATCGTCCGCATAGCGGCGACCGTTAGCCACCGTTTGAACACGACAATAAAAATAACAATCAAAGCTGCCAAAATAGCGGCCCCAAAGACTGCAGTACTTTGAATTGCTTTCATGTGGGCGCCCTTGCTGACATCTTCCCCAAAGTCAAGCCCCATCAACAAAATCACACAGGCTGTCCAACCGGTAAAGGCCCTACTGCGGCTTCCCTCACCTGTCTCGTCGTTGTACTGCTCCCAGGCGAATCCTGTGGCCTCCCAGCTATCATATACAGTGGTCACGAGTGCCTCCCTTAAGCTAGATGCGAGGGATAGAGCTCTCATCTGCACTTCCGAGGGCATCTCTCCATCATTAAGACCTTCACGGCCTATTTCATGCAGACTTAATATAGCCAGGACATTTATGTTGACCCATACAGGCCCTCGCCAGTAGTTTTCATTCTTCCCGTAATTAGGATCGGTTTTATTTAAGCTTCTTAGCCCATATGGTGACCAGAGCTTGGAAGTTTCCGAGAGAAGATTGAGGGTATCGAGAAGGTGCTTATGTTTAGCGTCCATTAGACCTAGTATAAGGGGGAACAGAGACACGTATCCGAGGTGACAAACATGTTGATATATTGGCGAATTGTGAGTGCCGACTGTAGTAGTCGAATCGCAGTATGCCTTCTCCGCATCGTTCCAGTGAAGCACATCAAGGTTGTGCTTTACATCTTTTACATGTTGTTGGTACATGGAGGCATCTGTGTCTTCGCCTAAAAGCTCTGCCACTTGTTGAAGTGCTCGTGCCGAGGCACCCACCCACGCCAGAGCATCGACATGCAACTCAGAGGGATGAGGCGGATTTGCTCTGGGATAATCATCTAGGCCACTGGTCAAGGTGTGATCGGGAGTGCGGCCCCTCCATCGGTACCCTTCTCCCTTAACGGCATCTTCCGGGCGTGGATAACTATCACCGAAATTCCCGGACTGAGTCCGGCGGAACCACCCGTAATGGCGGGAAAGGAGGGGATACAACCTCTTCAACAGAGCCGAAGCCTCTTGACTTGAGGAGATATATTTGGATTTATGCCCGGTGTATGTAGATCGACCGGTGAGCTTGGAGACCAAAACATTGGCCAGCAGCAGGAAGGTTGGCGGGTTTGCATAGTGCGGATACTGGGTCTGAAACTTCCTGGGAACTTTGCTGCGAGCCTCTGGCCCTAAGATTTGCTCACGACCCATCCAGCCGTTATCGTCCATCAGACTCAGCCAACTTTGGAGAACCGAGACAGCTAGGTCGAGATCCCATTCGATGACTAACAGGAGGTGAAACCCTTCATCCCAGAGGAATCCGCGTGGGAAAAAGGGCCTCGATGGAACAAAGGAAAGGAGTGATGTTGCATTTCTCGTAGTAATATCGGCGTGGGTCATTGCTTCTTTTGCAGCCTCCCAGAACATTGGCTTCGTCTCATCATATTCCGGCGCGTGGGTAAGATCAGCTTTTGAATCTCCGTGGAAGAAGCCCATTCCACCTAAGAGGTTGGATAGCAAATAATGAGTAAATGGCGTATATTTCTCATCTTTGAAAGGAGCACTTCTAGGGAATACTCTTTTGATGCCTGCCGAAAATGATGAATGCAAATCATTCAACGTTCTTTGGAAGTTATCCGCTGTCCAAGTTGGAATTAGCAGAACCTTGCTCTAAGAGGGGAGCTTAGCTTACGGCTGATGGGATCTGACTCTGAGTCATGATAGGTGAGTGTGACGACGAAGGCGCCCTCAAATGTGGTTTGAATGAAGTGCATGTTTCCAACCCCATCACCTTGGATATCCCTGACATCGTGGACCTGGTTTTGGAAAACAGCTGTTGTGAATTTGGGTCAGCAACGGATGAAGTAGTGTTGGATATGAGAGGACATACACTTGGCCTGCCAAATCTGTGCTTCTGATACTTGGACACTCTTGACAAAAGTATCATGTATGACCTTATTGCTGGCATCCCCAACAGTGTAGAGAGTGAATTGGCCAAGGCCTGTGATGTCACCGCTGCACATCGCCTCCCCTTGATTAGCCATCCCACACGCAAGGATTTTCGGGGGGTGATTTGTTGACTGCTCTACGGCGGCGTGTATAATGATAGCTGTTTTCAAATCTCCGGGGGCATCTGATCTGGGAGTGCCAACAATTCGAACGGCCCAGCCTTTTCCATCTTCCGTCTTAATGAAATCTATTTTCAGATCGATATGTAATTCCTCATCGTAGATGGCTTGGGACCCTCCTACACGTGTATCATATATGCTCCAGCCGTAGCGCATGCCCTCGTCTTGCTCACAGGTATCTCGAATGCCTGGTGTTTGTTAATATGGCATACGTAAAGTGGACTGGATGTTACGAATATCTCTTACTGTTCAGCATACCTGCCGTATTTGTCCCATCCGCCCACATCAATCCCATGAGCAGGGACTCGGGAATCTGTGGCCGTACCCCAAAGTAGAGATTCGGGCGATATGGGCCCCATGTCTGCCACGAACCATCAGGTTTTGCCAGAACGAAGCTACGAGAGAGGAAGCTATGAAATAAAAGCGGCCAGTACTGCATCAACATGATGAAATACAATCTGAAAGGGTCATGGAAAGTCAACAAAAAGGGAGTGGATGGCACGTACTACATGAAAGACCTAATAATGGGATGTGGCATATCTAAGGGATGGCAAGTTGAAACTCAAGCGTTGCAGCTTTTGAGGGAATACCTACCTAAATATAGCTACAGATTAGGGTTGGGAAGGAATTCCTCCATGTAAACGCCCAATGAGAAAGGATATCCCATGGCACACCTCTTTTCGGAATTTTCAGACATTTCTTAATGCTTCCCAAGTCACGGCTTAAAGCTTTTCATCTCCTTTTCATTCAGTTTGAGGTATTCGTGGAGCTACGAGAATCAAACGTGCAAGCTCAAGCAGTTGTTGGAAAGGATTTTAGGTACCCAAGCTTGTTTCACCTCGCCAAACGCATAAAGCGACCTTGGCACCATCGGCTATCGTTATATCTTAATTGCGAAGGTCGTCGGGTTTCACATGCCGTGGAATGAAACTCATTAGGATTAGGCGTCTGTGCTGTGCCTCTTCCAACTGCTACGGCCATCCCAGCCGGACCAGTCGCGACCACGGGGTAGGGCCAGATGTAACCGCTTGCCAGGGATCAGACGTAGATCCTAACCGCCTAGTTCCTCGCTTCCTATTCTTTGCCGTCGACCCTTGTCCATTGGTACGGAACCTCTACTGTCCTTGGCGCCAGGCACACACATATGTACTAACATAGTCCACCTGCCATTTGAGTTGAACGATTCTACGTCCCTCTCCCGTCACACCTGCCCAGGATAATATGGCGCCAGATCAGCGTACGCAATGGAGAGAGTACAGCGACCTCGAAGTTGTCCCTGGATTCCGGCCACGTCAACCTATGCATGGTGAAGGCCTCGAGGTCTACGAATACGGCGATCTAGAAGTCTCTCATCATGCAGATCCGACAGCGAAGCTTGGGAAGATCATCAGCCCCGTTGGTGACCCGAAGACTCTGGAAGGAAAGATATTGAGCACGACCGAGTTGAGAGAGCGCACTCTTCCCCTTTTGCCACCCGCGACAATCTGGGGGTTTCCTCGAAAAACATTTTGGATTCTCAGCGGCGTTATAGCTTTCAGCATAATTGCGATCGCGGTAGGAGGAGGTGTGGGAGGTTATTTCGGCTCCCAGAACAACTCGTCGTCATCTTCCTCGACCGGCGCCTCGCAGTACCAAAACTTGAGCATCACAGCCCTTCACTGGGTTGATGGAGCTACGATTGGCCACTACCGTGTCTACTATCAGCCTCCGAATGCAACACATATCTTGGAGTCATCATGGAGTACCGATAAGACGAATTGGACAGTATCGTATATCACTGAAGAAGACGAGAATATCAAGGATCATTCCCCGTTGACCTCAGCAGCTGGATACCCGCACACTAATGTGACCAACGATTTGGTTAGTTCTTAACTCTGCCTTGCGTTGCAACCTTTCACTTTTTCCTCTTTGTCTTTCTAAGCTGTCTTCTCAACGTTTTCCCCTTTGTCTTTTCTTTCTGAACACCGCTGATAATATGATTCATATCAGGTGAAAAGCGTATTCTACCTCAAAAACGAAGATGAGATTGTCGAGCAACAAAATCCATACAAAGAAAATCTTAATGCATGGGGCCATGATAATCTGAGCGGGCTCTATAAAACCTCTAATATCTCCTCGGTCATGTCATATTGGTACCAGAATTTTGACACTCGAATTCAGATTCTGGCTCTTTTTTTCCAAGAACTGGGAGCCAATTCCCTCAGCGTCGCCAGATATATTGAGAACAAAACGGACAGTAGGCCATGGGTTAAAGCGCAGCAGAGCGTCCCAGTCCAGGATGGAACCTCGGTTGCTGTTGCGCCTGTAGGAAGCAGACGCGACTTGAGGCTGTATGTTGGCGGGACGGATGGGACTCTAAAGCAGTATCCATACGACATCCAGACGAATGAACTAGGGGATGTAACAAGTACGTCCAATTAGTTGCTATGATATCCATATACTCGCGACTCAAGAATCTGACGCATTCATTTCAAGACACGGTTTACGAACTGGCACCGCGAACACCTATATGTGTCACCACCGAGGATAACCGAAACTACTTCACGGTCCAAACTCTGCCCGAATGCGCACAAACAAACACTGGCGCTTTCATCACCCATCTTATTCTCTTTGCTTCCACCGATCGTAAAAATTTGACTCTGGTCTCTTGGAATTGCTCGAGCGGATTCTCGGACGAGACTCGGCGTATCCAGAAATTGATGAAGCCAAATCGCGAGTATCTTGGTCTTACGACGACATCAGCATCCAACCTAACGTTCGAAGATGATCGCGTGTATGTTTTATATGATGGTGGTAATGGCCCGGAGGCAGAGGAGTGGCAGATTCCTACCAGTGGAGGCAAGAACACAACTGGGCAGAACGGAGAATGGAAACTTCTTAGTGAGGTTCCTCTTACTACATAAGGGGATCTACTTGGGACGAGTTGATAGGCCGGCAATTTTGAAGCATTATGTAGGCATAAGTTTGAGTTACTTAGAAGTATATAGTAATACAAGGGGGGATACATATAGAAGGATAATCTTTATCCAAGCTAGCTATAATATAGGCACTCTAACTTAACTTACCTTACCTTATTTCTCTTTACTAATGAAGGGGATAGCAATAAGCGGTTGGAGGAGCATTAATTATCCGATGTAGAAGTTTTCTTGCGATTAGTAGTAAGCTTGGAAAAGAAGCTCGCCTAGGTTGCATTGCCTATTTCGAACACAGCCATTCCCGCGCATTAAGTCCTATAGTGGGTTATAGCGGCTTGCCCCGTGTGTTTTACCACGCCCTCGTAGGAATGGATTATACCACCTAGTAAAAATACGAGACGTTGACTTTCGCGTTGGGATTCGATAGAACCCGGGAGGTAGTATTGCGATATTTTCATGTTGCTATACACCTTAAAGTCATTGGGCAGATTCTTTACGACTGACACTAACTACTGGATCTACATAATAAGATAAAGGGAATAGAGTGTTAGAAGGTCCCGGAGTCCTAGGCATTAACATACTCCTTCCCAGCTGAGCTAGGCGGGGCCTGTGTAGTTAATCTCTTGGATTTATGCTCTTATCTTAATCTAGCACTAGATCGACCTGGAGTTGAGCGACCTGGGAAGTTGCTATGTAGGTAGATGATAGGGCTGCCTATTGGGTAACCTAGACGCAATCTACTGGTATAAATTGGTGATGAAAATTGTGAAGTAAAAAGTACTGTTATATGTACCGTTGTCTACGAAGAGCACGCTGGGGGCTTATTAACCTCGGCTCCTGTTATACTCTAGATTAGTTGAAGAAAGAAGAAGAAAGTGGAAGTTTTGGAATCTTTTATATAATTTTGTTGCTGAGCTTAACTCATACCTTACTCACTACCATCAGAGCAGCCTAACAAATAAGTGTGGATTTCCTCATGCCGCTACCCATAGAGGTTAATGGCAATAGCTTTGCCAATCTGTGTTATTTCATCCAAGGCCTATTATCTAAACATGTGGGTGGCATCCCACCATTCCCACAACTTCATTGCTAACTCTATGATTAAACAATGTCATCAAAATCGCAACATGTGGCTTCAATTAGTTAACCTCACTGGTCTTGCCACAGCGGACATTTGTATTAGAGCCGGGGATTCTTTGAATGGGGTGGAAAGGGGATACCGAAATCATATCATCTTCCGCGCAACAAGGGGCAAACCTCAGTTCTCATACATGAAATTGAAAAATGGGGATCGTACTCTGTGAAGATTCAGAGGAAATAACTCATTGATACAGAGTTGAACAGAATTGAGGCCCTTGCAAGATTGAACCGTCGAATATCCAAGCCACCGGATCAAACCCAGGAGTTGTAGAGAAGTCGGTATCGGGGATCTGGATTATTTCACTGTCAGAGAGATCATTTCCAACTAAAAGTGCTGTCCGGAAACATACCGTCAGGTCCCAATCCTCCAGGCAGGCTTCTGCTGGAACGGCAGGTGGTGTTTCTGACAACATCCTCTCTGTACGTGAACGCACGACCTCGTCTTCAAGCAAAGAAAGGCACCTGTCTTTTGCTTCGCTGGCGGCTCTAGTGACTACATCAGGCATTCCATCGGCAGTAGTGCCCTCCAAGGCGGCCTTGATCTGTGAGGAAACTAGCACCATGACGAGATAACCCTTGATGTTTGTTTCACCATCTCTCAAAACCCGGAATGCCCATTCGCTTGCCCCCTCCAAGGCAGGTAACAGGTCGGAATTGATTGGAGTCCATAAAATCCCTTCATCGTGTTCTCTCAACTGGGAGCTAATTTCCGCAAGTTGTATATGGGCAGCTTGGGTGATTCCTGCGTGAAGAAAGCCTGTCCGGTAGGCGGACGTGATCACGAAATCGGTATACGAAGCATCGGTGGATAATGCGCCCCCTTCATCTGTGATTCTCCACAAAGCGATGCTGGTATCGACTGCGACTCTCCTCGTGTATGCATACGTTGGATCCTGAAGAGAGGGACCAAACCAAGGCACGTGGAGAGACAAAAGGAAACGGCGGAAACTCATATCTAGGTAGGAAAGTTGGAATGAGGAGGGAGAAAGAGAACTTGATGTTTTCTTTGATTGCCAGGCTTGGATAATGTGTCTCGTGGCTTTTTGGACACTCCGTAGCTCATTCTCGAGTTGCAGCATATTAGGGTACGTGCTCTTCCCGCCCAAGTCATTCAGGAACTTAGCAATAGTCAGCCGGGCAGGGAAAGTGGACCGCATCACCCTAGATATAGACGATTGCGTAAACTCTTCCTGTGGCTTTGATTGGGAATCATCATCCATGAGTTGGTCGTCGTTGAAGTTTCCCGGAGGAAGCGTGTCAAAGTCATCGAGCGAAAGAAGAGGAGGGCCTCCTGCGGTAAGGCTTGTGCGCACTACCAACTCTAGTATCGTGTTCCAAATTCGGCGGCGTAGCTCGGAGGCCAGAAGTGTTCGACGTGGCATCTTTGAAGGGTCACGGTGCAGACCCATATAAATTGCTGTGCGAAGAAGATCTCCAATGGACAGCCATGTGTGGCTCCAGGCAAGACCGACGACTTCGCGCGCAAAGGTGAGTAAGATTTGGCACTGTATGGTACCAAGATTGATACGAGCTTTGTAATCCGGTCGGCAAAGCCAAGCTTCCGCTTGGTGAATCCACCGAACGGCTGTTGAACGCAGGGAGAAATTACGATCGAAGGCGGTAGCGCCAATGGCCATCATAAGCTTCAAGGGGACAATGGTGTTCATGCAGGGTTCGGTCCTCGACTCCCAAAACGCATTGTAATCTTTCATGAACGAAGGTATATGAATAACGCGGTATACGCTCTCTGTGGTCCGTAAATAGCAGTCAATGAGCTTATCGCAAACGTCACGAGGAGGGACGTCCGGGGTTGGCAGCGATGGCCAAGGAGCAGCTTGATTAGCCTTGATGGTTCTAGCATACTCTTTGCATTTGTTAATTCCAGCGGAGATGTCTGGAGGAATTCCCAAAGGGTCTTGGCCTTCAAATACTTCAAAGAGATCACGAAACTAACACAATATTTAGTATCAACAAGCTGTGAGACAAAAGGCACAGAGACAGGGATGATGGCGTACCAACACTAGGCAACTACCCCAATGACTCTGTCCAAATAAGCGACGCTTATGCATTATGTAACGGCTCGTAAACCGTGCTTCGCCGAATATTTCGCTCCTAAACTCTGATATAGAAGCTAAACCTTTGGAAGCTACCGCAGCCTCTTCGATGATATTCTTTTGGTAGACAGGGCTCGGATTTGAAATTGAAGTAATGGAGAGGTCTTCACTTCCCAGTCGTTTTAATCGGAGAATCTCTTCCTCGAGCTGGGCAATCCTGGTTTTTGTTGTGTCTCTACTTGACTGGCTGGGAGATGTCACCCTTGTGGGTGGCATCGTCGACTTTGCGACATCATCATCATTGGACAAGGTGGCGCCGGATTCTGTCACAGGGTCGAGTTGGCCCGGTATGCTGGAGTCTCTCTCAGTGGTCTGAACAACAGAAGCTGACTTGGGTGCCAGTATAGGCTGCTGGGCTTGAGTGGGCTGAAGGTTCGATTCGGGTTGTCGACGCGTGGGCGTTGAGTTCGGGTTATCATATACACAAGTGCCATCGGGCACCTTTGAACGAATGCAGTTACTGCATGGCGCTTCCTTATTACATCGAATCTTCCTCTTCCTGCAAAGTGTGCAGGAGCTTGGTGGGGTTTGATTAGCTTTCCACAACTAGATCTGTTGCATGTGAGGTCTTCTTACACGGGGGGACGTCGACGACGTTTCTCGTATTCGGTCATGGTTATGTTGGTTGTCGGCTACAACTTCGTGCCAAATAATGTCGGCGCTGAAGTTCGGGGAATTGATTTTTTTTCAATGAATTTCAAAGGTCGGGAAATGGCACATGTACTTTGTACCTTTTAATTTCCCGAAAAGTGCGATGCTGTAATTGGTTAAATATACCGAACCCGACTTCCACCTAGATCAGTTTGACATACAATTATTTGAGGACTAAGAGCCCTCGCATCCCTTGCCTTCCCCCAGGTTAACCACTATTTTATCCCAAAGATCCAAAAATCACAACAGTCTAATAACTTATAATTTCAGTCAAGGAAAAATGGCGTTGTGAAAGCAGAGCGTCGATTTCGGATGTTAGCCCCGGCCCCTGTCTTCTTATGGCAGATGAAGCCATCAGACTAGCTCCTGTGGAGTTCTCTCTGACTCCCATGTCATGAGAAACGCACTTCCAGCGCCGATCCTGATCCTTCGGCCGGTTGTTGGTGTGTTACACCCTAGCTTAAGCTGCGGAGTATCGTGGAGCCGCAGCAGCGACAAATACTCGACTTCACGTCTGTGATTGGTATCCTCGCAAAGACAGCGGCTCTGCCCCACTGACATAAGGCATGGAGTCAGTCCTTCTCGAAACATGAGTTCATTTCTTAAACTACTAACTTGCTTGGTGTGAAAGCACTCTCATATCAAACCGGGTGATTTGGCAGAGCACAAGGCACAGATCTTTGAGCAACAACTAGCTAGGGTTTATTTTGTGTGTATTGTATGGATTTTTGATATCAGGGCGCTAATAACGAGGAATTTTATTCCAAGCCGTGAAACTACTTATTATAGTCTACATCAATTACATGTCTATCTACCTATAGCTAGGTATTCAGAGAAGGATTATTCAACCCCGATCCATGTACTTTAGGCGCCATTTATTTTAAAGATATGGAAGCACATGTACTATGCTAAAGTTGCCATCAGGAATCGCATGCGTATATGTAACGATTCATTGCAAACACCAGGACCAACAACGGCCAAAATCCAGTTTACCATATGTGTAACCGATTTGGCACTAGCCTTTACCAGTCACCATATTACTAGACCCAGTCTCGCCCTCCTGTTGTAAAATATAGACAATTGTAGCTGGCCCCTCGCTACAATTTCATTAATTTACTTCAAGTCGCTACACTGAAGCTGCACTAGTCATGCGGGGCTGCATAGACTAAGTTGTATGATATTCAGCGCCAGGTTACTCTTCCGAACTTACTCCGCACATCTCCTTGGATCTCCCATAGACAGGGTCTAGGAGTGATTTGGTTTTACAACTTCTGGCAAGAGTTACAAATTTCGCTAGCGAAATTAGATGAGCTTCGCCGAGCGACGTAGTGCACAGAGATGAATCCTAGGCCGCTGGCAAGGCTGGGAGACTACGTACTGTAGTTTAGTAGAGGTTCTTTCGGGTTAGTTAAGCTGAAAAGTTTAGGGGGATTTGCACTCGTCGAGTTGCAAGCTGAAAAGATGTGCAGTTCCACTTAACCGAGTTGGGCGACATCGCTCACGCCACTCAGTTCGTCATTTCCAAGTCTTAGTTGGTATCTTACCAAAATGCATGATTCAAATCTAATTTAAATGAAAAGAAAGCAGATAAATAAATTTGCCTCTATCCATTGATATATGCACGTTAAAAATTGTTGTCGTACTCATAATTCACTATCTCCATGGGACGTCTGCATTATATTGCCGACCACCCGACCACAAATGTGACATTGGAACTAATCAGGCAAACTATTGCCTACTAAAATATGACAGCATTTATCATGTGCAAAAGGAGGCAATAAGGCAATAACGGCTGATTCTTGAAGGCTGTGCACGCTGTTCATGGATAGGCACAGCCTGTAAGCCACCAATTTTACAAAAGTACATAACTAGTCCAACGCCCTTGCGCGTATTCCCCCTTGTTCATGTATGATATTTGAACAGCTCCTAAACTTTGTGGTAGAAGTCAAATAGTGAAGTTGAACATGTCTTCAGACAGCGACAGTTCATATGGCGGCGGAGGTGGCTATTCTTATGGCGGAGGTGGATATGGAAGAGGAGCAAGCTCATCATCTGAATCTGAATCAGAGTCTGACCGTGACACACGTCACGGTGGTTGGGGAACTTATTATGGCGGAAGAGGAGGGGGCATGAGCAGTGGTACAGGCGCGGGGGGGAACACAAGCAGCGCTTATGGTTCGGGAGGCGTATCGCACGGAGCGGCAAGCACAGGTAGAAGTTTGGTGGAAAACGATGTCGAATCAGATCACGACGAGAACGATCAACAAAACTTGGAGCAAAATCAATCTATCACGCAGCCCTCGGCGACTCAAAACTTGCAAAGCCACAGCGAAGCGGAGAGGCTACCTTCAGAGCCGATTACATCTCATGGCAGTGATGGTGGACATGGAATAGAACACGCTGATATTATCGAAGGAAGGGCACATTATGTTGGGGACGAGAGAGAACACGATGATGGTGGTGGTGGTGGTGGTGGTGGTGATACAGAGAGTGACGGAGACGAGGAACTGTCGTTGGCTGCCCTTGAAGGCTCGAGTTCATCGACGCATTCTGGCTCAGGGGGGTTGGACTTGGACTCCGACCACGAAGATGGAGGAAACCCCCAGGATAATGGATCAAACTCGCGAGGTTCTTCTGGAAATCGTGGAGGCGGTGATCGCGTCGGTGATGCCGAGGTGGGCTTCCACGACATAGACGCGGCGCTCCCAGACAACTCGGAAGCAGGGGGTATTGGCATCTACGTCCGACTCGATTCTACCGAGAGTTCAAGTGACCGTAAGTACTTCCATCAAACCTAACAATCAGAAGTCTAAATTGAATTAGGCGGTTTCTTCAACGGCAATGCCCCGGTCATACGTTTTCAACTGCCTGGCGCAAGTCATCCAAAGCAACGCACGCAGCAAGCGAATGGTATGTTGTACTCTCATGTTAATGTGTATAAGTAAACCCTTGCTGAGTTTGACTTAGACGCAGAATCGGTGCAGGTGAATAGTGACGACAGAATTCAAGCCCAGGCAGGAACCTTTCAAGTCAGCCTTGCGAACCAGCTGAATTCGAGTACCGGCTCCTACCGCACGTTGACCCCCGAAGAGGTGCAGTCCCCACGACCGGCTGAGCCTCAATCCAGCCCTGATTCTCAAGCTTCATCCTCTGAAGAGCTACAGAGAATGAAATATATCAAGGCCCTTGAGTTGCGCATCAAACGTGACACATCCCCGATTTTCGCAAGTACCGGTTATGGAACCATACAACGCCAACCCCACGCAAATTCTCCAACCGAATCTGATGTCTGGGTGCCTTTTTGTCACTGCCTGCCCACAAATTTCTCACGGGGACCTGCATATACAGCTCTTCCAGGTCGATCACATATTCGTGTGATTACAATTCATCCTGGTAAGGGGGATGAGATTCTCAGCTGCACATTGGATACAGTGGACCTAGATAATCCAGAAAGGCCCTACGAAGCAATTTCTTACCAGTGGGGGAGCCCGAAAGTGTCAAAACTGCCTATCTCAATTTCTGGAAAGGAGGTATTCATAAGCACAACGCTAACAAATATCCTAATGGGGCTGCGGCTACGTGATCGTGTGCGAATCGTATGGGCCGATGCTCTGTGCATCAATCAAGGTGATCATGCTGAACGCCAGCAGCAAGTTGGTCTCATGCGTCGCGTCTATTCGCAGGCATCGAGAGTGGTAATTTGCCTTGGGGCTCATAAGTCTCTAGCAAAAGAATCCTTCTCTGCAGTTGAAAAGCTTACATCTATTTGGCTGAGATTTCAGAACAGCCCATCTGCCACGTTGGAAAAGAGCCAAGGGATACTTGATAAGAGGTACAGGTCCAATGTTGGCCATGTTACCATGAGAAACGTCCTACAGATCTTCCAGGATCCCTACTGGACACGTCTTTGGGTAGTCCAGGAAGTGGTTTCGTCACGCCTCGCAGTTGTCCACTGGGGCGGTGAGGAAATATCTTGGACTGTAGTTGGACTTGCGGCGGTTTTGATACGAAATCAAGAATCGCTTTGGCAGAGGTTCACGTCTTCCGAGGCATCTGAGGCCGCTGTTTTTGGCCTCCTAAACGCCTACCTAATGTATCGACTGCCGTCGGCCAATTTCCGTGGAAGCTCCATGTCTTTTCTTGATGTGCTTCGTCTTACAAGGAGGTTTAATGTGACGGTTCTACTGGATCGTATCTATGCTGTGCTTGGATTGCCGAGCCAGCAGACTGAGGCTGGAAAGGTATTCATCACGCCCAATTACCAAATTCTTCGGGAGGGCCTTTATACACGTGTGTTCTACTGGGTTACGGCCACTCATGAAACTCCATTGGAAATACTATCGACAGTCCGACACATAAAGCGTATCGACCCAGGGTTCCCGACTTGGATTCCACAATGGCATATTGAACCCATCCGGAGCATCGTTGGCTCGCACCATAAAGCTATGAAGTTTAATGCTTCAGCCAACTGTCCACGGAATCCGTTGTTTGAGGTTAATTGGAAACTGGACGAGCGGAGCTTGACGCTAGAAGGACTCATACTTGGCGTTATCAAATCTTCGGCGAAGCCCATCCCTGCTGAACTGTCACCCAAGGCCACGTGGCGGGCTCGGCAACTGGCCGAGCATAATGCACAGTTGGAAGAATGGGCTATGGATCATCTCAGCAGCGAACCAAAGAAACTGGCGCTTAGCCTGACATTAACGGCTGGACAGGACTGGTATGGTTCCATTATCAAGGAGCACATGGACTACGAACATCACTTGAAAGGCTTTCTCGACTGGACTTGCACGCAAAACTGGATGAGCTCGCCTTGCAATGGTATAACGGTGGGACAGGGCAGTCTGCGCGCTGAGAGATACGGCCAAGCTATGCGGAATGTATGCTACGGGCGTAAAGCATTCACAGCTACAGGATGTGTTATGGGGCTAGGGCCTGATGTACTCCGTCCGGGCGACTTGGTGTGTGTTCTATTTGGTGGCCCAGTGCCTTACATTCTACGCCCCTTGCGTGGAGACGAATATCACTTTGTAGGTGAATGCTTTGTTCCGGGATATATGGATGGAGAGGCCATCACACAATGGAAAGCTGGGACACTAGGAGCACAAGAGCCTGAACGATTCGTTTTGAAGTAAACAAGTGGTATCAAGTTCGCCGTTCTAAATACTCCAGGCTTTAGTTATACATTGGTTTAAATTGAATAGTGCGTTTCTGAGATAAAAGTCAAATTCAGAAGGGTCGCTTTCGTTGTATGAGAGTCATTAAATTTCAGCAACAAACTGCAGTCAACGTTGTTCATATGTGACCAAGCGGCGAATACAATCGAGGCTGATATATACGCTGCGGCGCATTCTACCTAAGAGATGCATACGCCCTTTATCCTTTAATCTCAATCAATTGACTTCCTGTATTTGCTTTTCCTTACGACTAAGACCACGCAGAATAGACCTGCAAACACCCTCTAGAATTCCAAACCTGCCTGCAGTTCGGTCCGTTCTAGGGCGCAGACTAAAAGCACCGACTTCAAAATTGACGACCCGCCAAAGCTTATTCCTATTCCTACGGCGACCTTTTGGATCTACCGGTGCCGGTCCGTGACAGGGTGTGCGAAGGGCGGGTTTAAGTGGCAACGGATTTATCGACCTCAATTCCTAGATGGTTAGGACCCAGATGAAACGATGGCAGGCAACAGCTCGATAGGGTGGGTTTGGGCTGCTGTGACAGTTTTGGATCATAGCTTAGTCCATCTACAGAAGAACCCTTTCCTACCGCACATTTATGGGCAGGTTGCCGCGTTATCCATCAGGAGGTTTAGTTCAAGTTCTATGCAGACCTTCATAGGCATCACTTGTAACACTGGCTTACCCTAGACCTCCCATGCAGTCACCCAGCCGTCAAATACAAGTATGAATAGTACAACATCTTCTGTCTAGAAGGATAAATCTAGATTAGCCAGCGAGTTCTGCTTGTAATATGTTCTCCTATTTTCTCCAGATCATGTCGATTTTGTTCAGGCGTAAATAATAATCATGTGGCCCGCTCTCTGCAGACATTGCATTCATCTTTCAGCTACCATTGATGTTTGTGTATGTGAAGAGAGTTAGTGTGCTGTATCCCGGTCCGTCGGTTTTCCCGGAAAAGGCGGCTCCTTGCCTAATAATTGTTGGGAGTGTCTTACGAGATGAGTGCCAAAGTTCTTTGCATTCTGTAGCCATAGTTAGCGGGTTATGTAATGCCTGCTGGGTAAGCAAGCGAGGAGAAGGCGCAGATGGTCCGTTTTTCCCGCGATCGCTGCATGGTTCTCCTTTCTGATTGGAAGAGGCGTAGAACCGCTGCATGCTCACAGGAGCCCAGACCTTGCTGAATAGAGGGACTTCCCAACCAACAGCACTTGGACTCGCACGCCGGGCATGAGTTAAAGTGGGTGCCTCGCTCGATTGCGGCTGACTACCAGCAGGTGAGGTGCCATGGAATGCAGCCAACAAGCAATACCATGGGGGATGGCCACAAACACGCTCTGAGATTCACATTTTGATTGGGTATGATCTTATCCTAATTTAGCTTGGGCTTGTTCGTTTTCCACAGGCAAGGAGAGAGTGGAATGATGACTTGCATTAGATGAATATCATCGTTCAATGGTTCACATCATTGTTCATAAGCCAAAGGGGTATGAGGATCACAGAAGGATGGGACGAAATGAGCGGGTTTCAATACCGGTTCTGCCCTTATTAGTAGTTTCGAATGTTGATGATTTCAATGTTGATACAGATCATCCGTCTTATCCGAGAACCCGTTGTATAGGTTCCCTCCCACCCCCTGGTCCCGCATTGCCGCTTTTCCGGTCTGATTTCAAGATGACTCAACTGTGCATATGACAGAAATAGAATGGTGGAAGCCCAATAATGCGACCCTGGCTTCTAGCCCCCGACCGCTTCGATGTAATTGAGCTAGCGCATGATGGCACTGCTGCAGATACTGGGTTCCATGAATAGCATCTGGCATTACCACAATGAGCTTGCATTCCGGGGGGAGACGGCCTGATACGGACACTGCAGATGGTAGTAAAGCAAAGGTGTTTAGTATATTAGTGTTGTCTACCTATTGCCAAGACCAAAACCACCTGTGTTCCTCAACGCCTTGTTGGACCAGACTACCGCCCGGAATACACTCACTCAAGCTACTGGTCGAGTAGTGTATTGTCGATTATCGAAGTTGCAACCATGGCATGGGATGGTGACCAAAACGCTTGGCGACAGACACGAGCCCAGCCTATATCGGCCCAGCAACTACCCAGACATAGAGTTCCTCACCAGTCGCGCAGTCTCTTCACAGCTTCCCAGGCGCCACCACAAAGGGTTTCACATCAGCAGCGGAGTCTTTTCAGAGCTTCCCAGGCCCCAGCACACAGAGTGTCCCACCGGCAGCGTAGCCTTTTCAGGGCTTCCCAGCTACCCGTACATAGGGTTTCCCATCAGACGCGTAGCCTCTATGGGGCTTCCCACTACGACACATACCGAGATACCTACCATGAGATCCCCGACCAAGCCGAGAAGACCGGGAACTGGAATGTCGAGGAGGAGGATGTTTCAGCTCGACTGAATTTCTGTGATGCCGAGGTCAAGATCATAGAGAAGCCATTTGAACAGAACCTGGATTCAGAAATCCCAGGGCAAGTTACGTTTATCAGGGTAAGCGCCCCTTAATGGATCACTGACGCCCCCGAGCCTGACTAATGCGGAGATGAATAGAGAGACGCTGCATCGAGTATAGAGGTTAGTATCACTATGTCGTCGACGCCTATTCATCAAGACTTCCATAACACTGAACAATATATTGACGCGCATGTCTGTCACAGCTGTTCTATGATTTGTGGTTTGTAGCCAATCTTGCTGTATTCTCAGCATCCAATCCAATTACAGAAATGGCGAAATTGAAAGTTTTTACCGCATATTTCGTGTAAGTATTCTTTTGCGTATCCTTCCCCAGCTACCCCAACTGTACCACTGGATAGTTATCTAATCTATTTCCTTTAGACTCTTGTGGACGACATGGTTTGTAACCACAGTCTACATGGCCCGGTTTGAACACGATAGTATCTGGGCACGCATTGGCTTCACTTTCCACTTGGCCTCCATTATTGGTTTTACAATCCTTGGTATCGGACTCAGCAATAAGGTTCTACTTCCATCGGTTATACGGATTACGAGTATGTCATCTGCCTTTTGAGCTAAACATGAAATTCACATGGCCAAGATCGAATGTGACTAATTATATCTTAAACCAGGCATCACCATGGCATTCTCCAGATTCACCCTCGCGACGCAATACATAGTTCTTTTCTACCAATCTCGCAAGTTTGTGGACAATCGAGACTCTTTTCTCACAGCGACCATGATCCAGTTTGCCCCAGGGTTGATATACCTGACTCTTGGTCTTTCGGTCGATTGGTCCAACATATATGGAAACGGTGCTATCTTTACCATGTGGTGGATTGTTGCACTATTCGAACTGTTCATTATCCTGGCTCATTCGGCAGTCTCTGAAACCATGACTTTTGAGGGAACTCACATCGCCGAGCGTATTAACCTTTTGACCCTTATTGTTATTGGAGAAGGTAGGCAAGCAGTTCAAGATCTACCTTTACCCCAGCCCACCCCAGACGAGTAGGAGACTAACTTCCATTTGAAGGGGCTACCATTCTCACAAAGAAGCTTACCGTCATCATGGACTATACCTATATCCACCAAATCGCAAGTTCCTGGAGTACGTGCACATCTATCTACAAATCCCAACTTCTTTTCCAGGGAGCCAATTCAACTGACTTTATTCTCTAGCCTCTGCTCTTGTCGGTACCATCTTCTGTGCCTCGGCTATACTCTACTTGTGCTTCATGCTCTACTTCGACATGATGCCCCATCACATCCACATGAAAGCTCCCACCCTGGCCCTTTGGCTTCTTTTCCACCTCCCCTTTCACCTTGTCCTAATTCTGTTATCCGAGGGCACTGGCCAGTGGGGTATTATGTGGCGCGCCTCGGAGTCGTTCAACGAGATCGCCGCCCAGATGAACGATGCTGTCAATGGCTGCAATTCCACGGCGGAAATTGGCAGCGCACTTCAAAATCTGACCTCTAATCTCATGAGTCTGTATGGAGCTGACTCCGGAAGCGACATCACCCTAGTCCAGAACTCGGTGAACAAGATCAAGAACTTACCCGACAGCGCGATTTCGGACAACAGCGCCAGCAGCCCCCTTCTCAATGCGACTTCCACTATTTTGGCCACACTTGAAAAGGCCGTCTTGAAATCCTACTACATTACTTCGGGCAAGGACTCTGGGGATCTCAGCGCAGAGGATTCAAACAAAAAGGCTATTGATGAGGCATCTGACAGGCAGCTTCTTGTGGTGAGTAGACTACGATAAGAAGTGGTGAACAAACGTGCTGACAAGTCAATCTTATTACAGCTTACATACCTCTTTATAAGCGCTGGCCTGGTCCTCGTTCTCATGATGGTCCTGCACATAATCGCTAAAAAGAAGAAATGGACCATGTTCAATATGTTCCGTGCCGGATTCATCACGACGACCGGGGCCGGCCTTGCTCTGGTGGCGCTGGTTAACAAAAACCAAGGCAGCGCGGAGAAGTTCTTGGATAAGCCATGGCAGTTACCCATTATACTTGTGTGCTTTTTTGTTTCACTGATTCTGGTTCATTTAAAACATCCATCATAGCCATCTACTAGAAGACGAAAATAGGTCTTCAAAGTTAGGGCACGATGAATGGTTTAGGCCAAGTCGAATCATTAATATCTTTATTCTCTTTCTCCCCTTCTTCATATTCATTCTTCATTTTTCCTTTTCCCCCTAATAGAATTACTCTCATATCATTTTGAAGGCATAGATTACTAGCGTGGCGCTGAAAACCATAGACGGTTTATTTGAGGTTCATACACAGTTATACATTTATCTTAGACTCGAATTAATGTCCCTCCTGATCCACATGATCACATAACAAAGGGTTATATATTACCCAAGAGCTATAGTCAAACTGTATGAATGTATACCTTAATTACTAGGTAAGCAATAGCATCATGAGCCCTAACCTTCCCGTGGGTAAGAATGTAAACTTTCGTCGTGCGATGGCCACCAACATGATCCATCCACTAAAGGAAGATCGTGGGCATCGAATAGGCCCGGCAAGCTTGATTGATACTTGCCTCAACGATTAGAGCTTATGTCACCTAGTCCATCCCCATCAAATGCATAATTCTTGGAACGGGAAAGATTTTGCTAGTGGAACTCATGTCGCTTGACCCTGGCCTGGCGGCAACACGGCAGCTTGTTCATACTCATCGCGCACTCACGGGTCACATGCCTGTCTATCAGGAGACGGCCATCTAATCTTGTGGTGTCCGCGCCAGTTCCCAGCCAGGACAGCGATATCGGGTTTATGGGCTGGCCCTAGTCTAACACTAGCCTACGAGGAATCCAACACTGGTGGAACCCGAGTCATAATCACCTTGCCACCAGTGTCACCAACCGCTTATTTGCCAGAAAAGGAAAGAGTTGGAAACTCTATGTTTGGAACTCGTGTGTCGAGGATATCTTAAAGATAGCACACGGAAAATAATTCTATGCAGGGAATGAGAAGTTATTAAGACGCTGGAAAGATACGACTTCCACCACATAGCAAAATGAATCTCGCTGCCCTGGACTATTGTTCTATCTTTGACTTGGGCAACCAGGCCCGCGCCCTCGCATTGGATGCAAAGGACAAGCGCAAGTATCGCCATTTCTAGATCCTCGGTCGGACAATCAAACGCGTCGCAGCGTTCCAGTCGCAATACATAAGAATAAAGTTCAACGGCAATGGAAGCTGCTAGAGCCCGACAACTCAACACAATGAATAGGGCAAGTAGTTACAAAAGACCTAATAGTGCTAGTTATTAGAGAATTACTAAGATAAGTAAGAATAGTTTAACTTTAAAGAAAAGGCTAATATAGAGGAGGTTTTAATATAGATTAAGATCTTAAGAAATATAATAGATAATTTAAATTAAATATATAGATTTTAAGATAAAACTTTAATAAAAGATAAGAAATAATTTTTATATTAATAAATATTTCTTATTTATTATATAAGATTATAGCTTAATTTATTAAAGATTTTAGAGTATTAATATATATTTATAATAAATAGTATTAAACTAATTTTTTAATTAATAATTAAATAAAAATACTTAAAACTTACTCTTTTATATTATAGTATATTTCTCCTTATATTATTAATAAATATTTTATTAATTTAAATTAATTTTATAATTAATTTAAGATATATTTTAGTATATAGAGTTACTATATTACTCTTACTATCTCTTTAGATTATTACTTATATTATAATAGAAATCTAGGATTTATAATAAACTTAAAAGTTTATATATTTAGTTAGAAACTTCTTATTGTGACAGTTAGTCAACTTACACTAGACGAGGTCTAGGGTAGGTCAGGGTTAAACTAATTAGAGTATTATTCTAAGTAGTATAATTAGGTTATCTTAGTACTATATAAGTCACTACTAATATATAAGTAATAAGGAGCTAGTTTTAATAAAGGCGGTAGCGATTATATTAATAACTATCTAAGAGTATATCTTCTATCTAAGAATTAAATATATATATATAGTAAGGTTATTACTATCTTATTACTAAGCTATCACTCTACCTAAGTAATAGGTTAATTTTATTAGTCCCTAAGTGAAGCTTGCTAGTCTACTTTATATATAACTTCCTGCGGCCTAATGGAGGCCTTTATTTATAATACTTATAAAGCTTTTAAAAGATCTAATAGTATAAGTTATTAAATTTTAACTATATAATTAATTTATTTAAGAATATTACTTATTATATATTAAGTAGTTTACTATATAATATATAATTATATAAATTACTAAGTATTAGGAATTAATTAAGCTATATATTATTAATAAAGATTTTATTATAGTAAATACTATATTATATTTATAAATATAATTAATTAATCTATTTTTTAGATCTAACTTTTCTAGTAAATATTATAAACCTTAAATATAATAACCTTTCCTTAAAGCTTTTCTATTATATTATAAGCTTAAACTTTAAATTAAATTATAAAAATAAAAGAAATTTAAATAAGAGCTACTTTTACTTAAATTAATTAAATATAGTATATAATATATTAAAACTAAAAATTAAATATTAAGTTATAATAAGTATATATAATAAAGTAGTTATTAATAAAGCTAGATATATTATATAAATCTTTTATATTATTAAAAAGTACCTTATTAAATACCTTATTAAATACCTTATTTATCTAGCTATTATAATATAGAGATAAACCTAATAGATATAACTATTAGATTTACTTTATTATTAATAGCTTTATTATTATAAGGAGCCCTCTAATTAAATATAGGCTTAAGAATTTTATATATATTAAGTAGAGCTTTATTAAATTATTTATAATTAAAATTAATATATCTTTTAGGAGCTTATTATTTACTTTAATAATTAAGCCTTTATTAATAAGGATATAAGTATTAAATATTAATATTTTACTATTATATAGGAAAGTAGTTATAGTTAGTAGTAATAAGTATCCCCTCTTAAGGCTATAGCTAATTTATATATTAGCTAGCTCTTATTAAAGTTTTTAATAAGATATTAATACTTATACTTAAGCTAAATATATAAATATTTAAGTTTTTATAGTATTAAAGGTTTAGATATAAGCTATAAATTATATTTAAAAAAAAAACTATATATTATAGTTATATATATAGCTTAATCTTAGGATAACCCTTATTTATAGTAAAGAAACTAATTAATATAATTATATATTATATAGTAATAAGTTACTATTAAAATATAAGTATTAAAGAGCTAGTTTTAATAAAAGTAAAATTAATAGCTTTATAAGAATAATAATATAATAATTAATTATCTTAAAATTAATAGCTTAATATAGTAAATAAGCTTAGTAGCTTTAAAGATAAGTTATTAAAATTCTAATTATATACTAAACTATCTACACTAGACACCTATAGTGCCCCGTGACAACTGTGAGAATATGGTTTTTAATTAGCTACTACGAAACACAACGCAGCTGCTCCAGGAATAAGATCTTCCGTACTCACGCTGACCGTGCCGCCTGTGCCTTGTTCGGATGCTTAGCATCCGAAAGAAAGATCTCAGACCAGTGTAGTGCCCCCTAGCTACACGCGCAGCCCTACATGGGCACCTTGTCCCATAAGACCTTTGCCCCGGCGCCGCCCACGGTGCTGCCTGGCCTTGGCGCGCTCAAGCGCCGCGAGATAGATGCCCGCAAGCTGGCGATCGCGTATCCTTATGCCGATGGTGACGCCAAGACCACCCCCCAGCACTCGAGCCGCAGGGGAAAGCCCTGTCTGTAACAGCTTATGTTGAAGGCTTCGTCTGTGTTCACAAGGACCCAGACCAGCCGCGTAGCTGCCCTCCACGGCGGCGGATGCTGTCCTCCGTCTTGAGGTGGGCGCTTTCATGAGGCAATTAATCGGAGGTTCCGATCTACAGTAGCTTGATGTGTTAATAAAAATAACAAAGGGGGCTTACACTGGAGGCCAGCATGCATGTTTCCACTCTACCGTTGTTGGTTGACACCATGCATATTACGAGAGGGTATCACCATAATTTCACTCTACGTCTGTTGGTGCACCCCATGCATATTACGAGAGGACATGACCGAAATGTATTAGCACGTACCTGAAGCTCCGAGGAGCCCACTCCTTTCCGCGCGTTGCGGCGGTCTGGCGCAACCCAGACTCGCCACCGGAAAAGAAGGTTTTCACTCTACTACTATTGGTTCACTCCAAACACATCACGAGAGGGTCCTGCCATTGTGTTTAAGGGAAAATGGTAGTGTGGAAAATGGCGGTTCATTCCCCCCTCCCTTTTCTTTTTTTCTTCTCTTTTTGAATAGTGAAGCCTTTGTTCCTAGTCACGACTTGGCCACAAGGTCCCAAACAAGGATGCAACACTAGGTAGATCATTGTTCATTATGGTTTGCTTCAATATGAAGAATTATCATGTCATGTTATTAAAAGAAATTAAGATGGGGCACGGCTGCAAGCTGATGAACACTCTAGCCAACAGTCAACAGCCAACAGGTTCAATGGATAACCGGGAGAACGAAGCTACCAAGCCGAGCTTCACGATGGCTATATAAACAGCATCTTCTCCTGCGTACAGATTATCTACAAACTAAATCAAATAAGCCCTTCTATTAATCTCTTTCAATTTTCCACACTATTGATTTACAATCGACCACTTCCAAGTGATCATCATGCGTTTCAACCTTTTCACCACCCTTTGTGCCCTTTCGGCAACCGCCCAACTAGCAATTGCAGCCGATCCTGTCAGGCCTCCTACGCCTCCTGACCCTTTCACCAACAAACAAGTAGTAACATTAGCTAAGTGTGTACACGTATATCAATCTCGCTCCAAAGCTAGCTTCTCACATTAAACTTGATATAGTGCTTATGGAGCAGCGGCTTGCGGTGCTGGAGCTATTATATGCAGTAACACCGGACAGCCCGTGGCAAGTATTGGCTTGCAAGTCGCTGTGGTATGTTGTGGTTTGGCCGCTACTGTATCAGCGGCTTACAGTGAGAAACAATGGGACGCGTCGGTCAAGAAATACGGAGACAAGGCAAAGGCTACATGTCGTAAGACCAAAGAAGGGGTTGTTGTGTGCGGAGAGTGGGTTGCCGACATGGTTGGTGGTGCTTGGCAGGTGGTTCGGCGAGCGGCTACAGCAGAACGGCATTTTGTTCCGCGTAAAAGAGCCCGTCTAGCAAGGTCAGTTGATGGTTTCAAAACCAGGGGTGGCAGAAAAATACGACGCCATTCTCAAGGTAGGGAGGCCAGAGAGCGGATGCCGTCAAGATTCTAGACCATCTTAACCAACACTCTTGAGCATAAGTGGAGAGGGGGAATCGGAGAGGAAGGGCGGATGAGGTCAGAATAGTACCAGAAGGAAGGGTGAGGGGATGGTACGATGAGAGGGTGGTTACGGGGCAATTTATTAGTCATTTTGAACCAACAGCATATAAATATCCGAAAGTACCTATATGCCTTATATGGAGTGAATTGCCTTGCCTGCCTTCCGTTAGTAGCTGTGGCTGTGCTGCATTTCAATTGTGGATATAAATATTCTGTTGGATTACTGTTCAATCTCCCTGCTACTTTCCCTCATTCACCTTCCTTCTACCCATCCTCATCAAGAACAACACTATTCTTTCAACACAATGGGGATACCAAGCCAAAGGCTCTCCCAGCTAGCCGCTGACGGGCTAATGTTAATGGTCTATCTATCAATGAGTAGTGCCCTGGCAGCCTTTATTATTCTTATAGACTTAAGGGGAATTATACCACGGTCAATTGTCTACTATAGTCTTGGTATTGTAAGTACTTGATTTAGTATTAAAGTTCTTAACATTTACAATTTTAATAAAAGAATTTAGTGTTTTCCCTCTTTTGCACTTGTTGGCGCGGGCTATATTCAAGTTTGTGCCTTCCGGGAGGAGACCGAGAAACCTTCATTAACACAACTCTCTCTGACCTTATTTTTGGCTTTATTTCACTTTATCGGGGCGTGGATAGTATTTGGCCTACTACTTACTTCACACTTCTGGCCTACCGATACATTGACCCCAAGCAGGATCTGGTTCCTTTGGGGGCAAGCATATACGTAAGCTTCTATATTAATTTGATAGATTCTTGACTGTTAAGCTAATGTTATATGATATCTACAGGTGGTCCACTGTTATCATTAATTTGCTAAGGGAGCATTTCAGGACCCAGGAGCAAAAGAAGAAGAAGAAGGCTTTGCGTGAGGCCAAGGAGAAAGCTTTGCGTGAGGCCGAGAAGAAGGATCAACACGAGGCTGAGAAGCCAGGTGAGAATGGCTCAATTGCAGAGCCGGTATCGGGTTCATGTAAGTCGCCTTTAAATCTTTGACGTCTGCTTTTTTTAATAAGAAAATGGCTGCGTCGCTCTACCTTCCAGCTTGTGCGACAGCATCTAACCAAGCGACAGAACCGTTCGTAGGTTTAGCTGCAGAAGCCTTATGCTCAGATATGCACCAATATCAGTCTGGGGGGGTTTTGGGGGGGGGGGGGGGATGAAAACTAGTGGGCACAAAATCTCTTAGTTGAGGTGCGATCCCATCCAGAAGGAGGCCGGCCGTTTCATAAGATATTCTCGTACTGTATCCGCAAGCCTATATGCATAGCCTCAGCTGCTCATGAAATATGTGATTAGCTCAAAATAACGATCCAACTCTCACGCAGGGTTCCTAACCTTGCCAGTCGCGCTAAGAGGCAACTATTAGCACGTGTCAAGCGATTGCCAGTGTTAGGAAGACCAGCAGCAGGAAGGGGGGCGGGGAACCTGTGTCTACCACCTTGCTAACAATGTACGGGGCGGTGTGAGGCGGTGTAGGCACTTTCAGACGGATCCGTTCCAAATGCCCTCCCTATGTCTTAACGAGAGACAGCGCGGTCATGCCCGCAGCGATCGATCGTCTCGACGAGAGACAACCGGGTCAGCGATGAGGCGATCGCGTGTCTCAACAGCGGACAGCCGGGTCAGCGATGCAGCGATCACTTGTCTCAACAGCGGACAGCTAGGTCAACTACACAGCGATGACTCGTCGCGATAGAAGACAGGTAGGTTGATTGAACAGCGACCGTGTGTCTTGACAAGGGACAGCCTTTTCAGACGGATCTGTTCCAAATGACTTGTTAATGGACAAGTGGTTCAGGTCTGTAGCAATCGCTCGTCTCAATAGTAGACAGCCGGGTCAACCACACAGCGATCGCTTGTCGCAGCAGCGGACAGCTAGGTCAACCACACAGCGATTGTGTGTCGCGATGGATAACGGCTGGGTCAGCGATACAGCGATCACTTGTCTCAACAGAAGACAGCCGGGTCAACCACACAGCGATCATGTGTCGCAGCAGCGGACAGCATTTTCAAACGGATCCGTTCCAAATGACCGTTTCAGCGATAACCGGGTCAGGTCTACAGCGATCGCTTATCTCAATACTAAGAGCCGGACTGCACGACGGGCATCAGGTTAGGGCTAGAATTTTGAGAGATTTTTAATTAAAATAATTTAATCTAACTCTAAGATTAAAGAATTTAGAGTATAATAGTAAGCTACTAATTTTTATTAACCTTAAGGTTAAGAAATTTAGACCTAAGATTAAGAAATTTAAAATATAATAAAGAGCTATTAATTTTTATTAATCTTAAGATTAAGAAATTTAAAGTATAATAAGAAGTTACTAATTTTTATTAACTTTAAGATTAAGAAATTTAAAGTATAATAATAAGCTATTAATTTTTATTAACTTTAAAATTAAGAAATTTAAAGTATAATAAGGAGTTATTAATTTTTATTAACCCTAAGGTTAAGAAATTTAAAGTATAATAATAAGCTATTAATTTTTATTAACTCTAAAGTTAAGAAATTTAAATTTAAGATTAAGAAATTTAAAGTATAATAAAAAGTTATTAATTTTTATTAATTTTAAAATTAAGAAATTTAAAGTATAATAAAAAGCTATTAATTTATTAATTTTTATTAACTTTAAGGTTAAGAAATTTAAAGTATAATAATAAGTTATTAATTTTTATTAACCCTAAAGTTAAGAAATTTAAAGTATAATAATAAGCTATTAATTTTTATTAACCTTAAGATTAAGAAATTTAAAGTATAATAATAAGTTATTAATTTTTATTAACCTTAAGATTAAGAAATTTAAAGTATAATAAGAAGCTATTAATTTTTATTAACTTTAAGATTAAGAAATTTAAACTTAAGGTTAAGAAATTTAAAGTATAATAAGGAGCTATTAATTTTTATTAATTTTAAGATTAAGAAATTTAAAGTATAATAAAGAGCTATAAATTCTCTTTATAAAAGTTAATATAAATAGAATTAGATCTACTTACTTAAAGTAGCTTAAAGCTATAATTATTAATTATATTTATTAATATTATAATTAATAAGATTAAGGAGAGATTTAATTAACTTATTTATTACTATAGCTATTAATTCTATTTATAAGAGTTAATATAGATAGGATTAAATCTATATACTTAAGGCTACTTAAGGCTATAGTTATTAATTATATTTACTTAAATTATAGTTAGTAAAATTAAGGAGGGATCTAACTTATCTACTTAAGGCTATAGCTATTAATTATATTTATCTAAATTATAGTTAATAATATTAAAGAGGGGTTTAATTACTTTAATTTAAAGTAGTAGTTATTAATTATATTTATTAATCATATAGTAAATAAAATTAGACTTCTCTACTTAAAGCTACTTAAGGCTATAATTATTAATTATATTTATTAATATTATAGTAAATAAAATTAAAATTACTTATTTAAAGCTATTTAAAGCTATAGCTATTAATTATATTTATAAGGTTTATAATATATATATATATAAAGTATACTTCCTTATTATATTATAAAATACTTTCTCTTTTTTTACTTTACTTAATTATATATTTACTTTATAGCTATTATTATATATAAAGATAATACTTTAATATAATATTAAAATTATAAATCTATTATAAATTAATAAAAAAAAAATTTCTTTACTATTTAAATAATTAATACCTTAATTTCTAATTATAAAAGCTTTACTTTAATTAATCTTCCTATTATTTAAGTAATTCTTTATTTACTTTTTCTAGTTTAATTTAAAATACCTTTATTAAATTTACTTATTATAATAAAGAATATATATTCTTATATATATATAAACTAACCTTTATTTTATAGATCTCCTTACTTAAGTTCTAAGTAATTATATATATTAATATAAATTTTAATTATATATATTAATATAAATTTTAATTATATATATTAATATAAATTTTAATTATATATATTAATATAAATCTTAATTATATATATTAAGATAAATCTTATTTATAAAAGTTCCTAGCTAAGTAGTATAATAAGTATATATATATAATATTAATAAGGGTAATTATAAACTTTATAAATATCCTTACTTTAAAAGCTAAGAATAAATAAAGCTTTATATTTATTAAGGTATAGATCTTCCCTTATATAATAAAGGAAGAATACTAATAAGATTATTATTAATATATATTCTAATTACTTTATATTAATTAACTCCTTTTAATTAAGCCTTATATTATTAAGGGTTAATATATATTCTAATTACTTTATCTCTAATTAAGCTAAAGGTAGGTTTTATTATTAATATTATACTACTTATAAAGTTACAACAGCGAAATTACTAATACTTTTACTAGATCTAGCTATTATTCTTAGTAGTAGATTTACCTAAAAACCCTTGCTACTTTAAGCTCTATCCTTTTAATAGACCTATATTAGAACCTCTATAAGTACTACTATAGTATTACTCTTTAGCTCTATAATAATAGTTAAGTAAGCTATTTGCTTAATCACTAAGAAGTTAGACCCTGAGCCTCTAGATATACTGGTCAAGGTACTAACATAGGCTATTTCGTTGTATAATTAGTACTTAGCAGCCTAGCTATAAATACTATACCTTCTCGCTGCTATGTTCTTTCCTCCTATTCCTTTCTTACTTCTTACCCTTATACTCCTCTCCCTCTGCTAAATCTTCATTTATTCACTAGTCTTCACTTTTCCTCCTCTTATAATTTCTTCCTAACTCTCTAGTACCTATATTCTTACCCCTATAAAACAATAGTTAGCTATACTATAGCTCGCAGTGTATAGTTACCTCCTAATTCGGACTTAGAATACTTAGATAAGTTTAATAATAATAGTGTTTTTAATAATAATAATTATAAGGGCTCTAATTATAGTAGTAATATAATAGTCTTAGATAAGGCTTCTAAAGAGGATATAGTAGACTTTAAAGATATTATTAACCTATTTAGTAGAAATATATACTTACTAGAGTACTATTAAAAAGTAGTAAAAGATTTTAATAAAAGCTATTATAATAGTTAAGATTATAGCCTAGGTAGTGATATTCTCTTAAATATAATAAAAGAAAAATAGAAAGAGTATATAACTAATTCTACTCTTAATAGCTAATACTAATATATTTTATATATAGGTTCTATAAAGTTATTTATTATAACCCTAAAGAAAGTTATATATCTCTATTTATAGGGGTTTTATATAATTTCTTTAACTAGTACTTAAATTAAAAAGTTAATAAGGATAGTAGAAAACTCTATAAAATAAAGAAAAAAAGTTCCTTAAGTATATACTAAAAGGTATTCTAGCTATATATTAAAAGGGCTATTAGAGATAAGATTAACCTAAAATTAAACTAGAAGATATATAGGGTAGGAATCTTTACTATACCTTTTCTTAAAATACTTTTTAATATAGATTATTAAGCTTTTAGAGACCTAGCTAAGAAGTATAAGCTAAGTAATAAGAAGTAGGTAAATTACTATATAACTATTAAGGATCTAAGGGAGTAGATTAAGATAATACTAAGTATAACTAAAAAATCTTTCTAGCTAGGAGAGATTTAGATCTTTATAGTTTTATTTCTCCTTTTACTTACTCCTATTAGTATATACCCTATATCTATTTTATACCTTTAATTTAGTGATATTTATATAGTATTAGTAAGAGATCCTAAAGGTAGGGCTTATAATATCCTAATTTAATTTACCCTAGCTTTTATAAAGATATACCTTAGAGTTAAAGATATATATATATTATTTATATTAGAAATAAACCTATATTAGTTTAAAATACTAATGTTTTTTATTACTATATTATAATAAGACTTTTATAGTGCCTAAGAACTTCCTTAATCCTTTACTTTTCCTTAGCTCTTATATCTACCTACTAGGTATCCTATTTTACTATTAGGTATTTAAGGCTTTAAGCCTTATCTCCCTAGATAAGCTAGATATACTTAATATCTATATAGGGGAAAAAGAG